AGTTTAAAAATAATTATGAACTCTTGGTTAGCACGTGACCTGACCCCATTTGGTAGAATACCTGTACTTAAAATTCCCATTTTTACTAAACTAACCCACCTTTTCTCAACCCTATCAAATCCAAGTGAAAGGTTTATAAAGGAATTCTAAACACTGTGTTTGCGTTTTATATGGAAAAATAAACCGGACAAAATCAGTAGAAATATTATGATTAAACCTTATGAACAGGGAGTATAAGAACACCTGATATTAAAAAATATAATCAATGCTTAAAAGATATCTTGGATTAAACGTTTGTTCCGTTCCCATCAAAACTCTAAACTAACCACTCTTTGGATTAATAATATAACTCCGAAACCAATTGATTTTCTGCAAAAATGCCAGTTCTATATTTCGGAAAAGGTTATTAATGATAGGCCCAATGCCTCCTGGTAAGATGATCTGTGTGCCTGGGAAAACTTAATGGAAAAAAGGAAATTCTATCAAAGAGGAAAAAGATATATTATCACAATCTTTATGGCAAAAATACGAATATAAGAATCGGGAACACTCCTGCTTACTATAAACATTACTCGGGAAAAGACATAAATCTTGTAAATTGTAAACCAAATTTCCCCGTAGAAAATTTCCGTTCTCGTCTATCAAATCATTTACAAGATTAATTGGGTTTTTTTATTCCACTTTTTTGTCGTACAGCATTTCATACATATTAATGTTCATACAGCGAATCTTAAAACAAAAAAACGGAATCATAGATCATACATCATGGGGGCATATGAACTCAGATAATTCAGTATTTGAGTTGATATGGTTACAAAAATAGTTTGTGGCAACTGGACCAAAACGTCACAAACTTGTTGTAGTTACAGTCAGAGTAAGCTATCGCTTTAGTTATAAAGTAGTAATTTGCCAACTCTCTCTGGATCAACTCGAAAGACAATTTTTTTCTTTTTAAGATAAAATTGGAATATAGTATCCTTAATGACAAGGCATGTAGATGGATCATTTCCTTTAAATGGAAAGCCCAGTAAAACGTTTTCTTTGGTGAAATTGATATGAATTTCCGCCTTATTATTTATCCATCTTTCAAGTTCGACCCAGAGAGAGCTAGCGTTTTCACAAGTCCATAGTACATGAGAAATGTCAGCAATAACTTTATCACAACTTGTACACATGGGAGACTCTTTATATCCCACTTTAAATAGGTATTTACCAACTGGAAGTATTTGATTAATGATTCAGTACAGAAGCCAACACAATTGCACACTGTCAGTACATCGAAATGGTATTTCATTTATATTTTTCCATTCATAATCTGTATAATATTTTATATCATTTTCTCATTGCTGATTGGCTGATGTCCTCTGAAATTTTGAACTCAATGGCACATCATAGTAGTATTTTGAACCCTTTGGACTCTTCATAAGTACATGAATGTTAAATGGTAAAATTGGGGCTACCAATGGTGTAACATCATAAGTTTCTAAAGATTTTAAATAAACATTTATAGCATTTCTTACCCCGTAAAAGGTTAAACGATTACACGAAACATATTGTATCTATTCTCAAATTCCAAGTATGAAAGAAGTCGGCCCTCATGATCTACCAAATCATTGATATATTTTACTCCCACATCATCCTACTTGTTAATAAATATATATTTCCCATCAATCTGCACATTGTCATTGTACCATATATACTGGGAATAAGCATCCTTTCGTGTTTTCTTATGATTTTCTATTTATCGGCCCCAAGACGACACTACATCTCGCCAAAAGGATTTCTGAGAGTTTTGACGATGAGGTCTCTTATGTATTTTGCATCCATTTGAAAAATATCAGGTGGGATAATATTAACCTCAAATATAAACGATTTAAGGGTAGTATTTGATAGATGTATGTGACGAAGCCAAGAAATATTTTGAGATGCAATAATATCTTTTACTAGGGGTACTTTAAAACCACCGTTAGGAACATGTTCATTACCCTTTCCCTTTTAATTTTATCCGGTTTTTCATTCCAAATAAATTTGAAGCAATTTGTTTGAAATTTATTTATAATATCTTCGGATGGAGCAGGAACAGTAGAAAACAAATGATTAAGTTTTGGTAACAATAATGATTTCAATATTGTATTTCGTCCAAAGGGTGTAAGTATTCTACTTTTTCATAATTGCATTGAATTTCCAGCAATATCACGGCGGGGGACAGCAGAAATGGGCTTCCTACATTGTACCCATGTCGGGATTCGAACCCGGGTCTTCGGCGTGACGAGCAAACGCTTTAACCACTAGGCTACCCGACAGCCCCTATTCACAATGTAATTACACACAGTTCATAACATTTTGGTCTCTCTGTCACCATCTATTGAACAATATGACACTGGAATAGTTTTTGTTTGTTATCATCTATAGATCTACTTTGTTACTTGTAAGTATTTAAGGTTGTATGTGAGCTATATTCTGTAAACTTATTGTTTGTGTCCTCCAAAAAGAAATAAAATAATAAAAACAAACATTTGGTGAACCACTGACAGTGTTTAGATTTTTGGGACAAGCATATTATTGTGTATTTGTATACCTTGATTAGACTGTAACACTTGGTAAATTCACGAGGTAAAATGAAAAGATCATAAATGAGCTATATGAATTTAAAATTTTAAAATTTTCCAAACATTTCATTTAAGAGGAAAAAATGCAAGCTGAAAGTGCTGTCACAGTCCCCTCAAAAGACAATTTACTGCATTTGGAATTATTGGAACAACTACTAATCTATTATTTGTCCAAATAATTAAAAAATAATATAAAAAAATGGTCATTTTGTGAGAATTATTCAACTGACAAGATACAGTTCCGATCTGGAAGTCAGTCAGTTAGTGAGTGAGGTGGGTTTAACGCCGCGTTAAGCACTATATCGGTTGTATCACGAAGTGCCAGCGGGAAGAAAGTCTGTCTGGCGCAGAACGTATACCTAGGACAAAGTAAGAATCAGGGTGAGCCGATTATCGGATTCGAACCCAGCGAATTGCGACACCTGAGATCGTTGAGCCACTCGTGCTCATACAGTGCAACTGTTACAAGGATAAACGGTTAACGCAGTGACAAGGATGTATTCCTTACCTGCTTATGGTGCTAAGCTTTTCTTTGTGGATGTCAGCAAGCAAATGGCTGCATTTCACAGTGTGAACCCATTTTGTTCCAAGTTTAGGAAATAAAAAATAGAGAGTACAAAAGGCTAAAGACGCTCTTGGACACTTTGAAGTGCTCTCTGTAAATAATACGTTAGGTTACCAATATAATATATAAATTCAGAGGAGTCATAGTTCATATTTTCATCACGTGATTTGTAGTTGTATTTTTACGTCTCATTCATCACAGATGTACGGATGTGTACACACACTGTCTGTATTAATATACTCGCCAGGCGTCATACAGGTGGGCGTGACGTCTTCAACATTTGGACATGATTCCCGCCGAACACAAATATTTGGATGCGGTTATTAATGTTTACCATCACCTATGCATATTTACTATGTGCGTTATCAGTTCATGACAAGTATAAATATTATGATATTCATACGGCGCATGCCGATACTGATATTTTCCCATTAGGGCGTTCACACATCAAGAGTTTGTCTGGTCAAGACATGATTATTTACAGACCGCCGTCATATAGCTGGAATAATGCTGAGGGCGGCGTTTAACAATCAAACAACCAAACAAACAAACAAATAGCATCTGTACTCCCCCGGGGTTCTTTGAGTATGACGAGTGTCAGCTAAGTGTCAATTCAGTACGCATCCACGATTTGAACCCGGATCCCGGGACGACAAAGCGACATAACAACTGTATTACCATTCAAAGCGATGTTACATCAACACTCATTTGGACTACATAAGCCTATATATGTGTCGAAAGTAAATTTCACATGTCAACGTTATAATCACATTGCCCATTGAGTATGACATGTCATGGGCTGTGTTTGTGCATCAACACTCACTCACCCATTTACTTTACATAGCCCGTATATGTGTCGGAAGACACCATCACCATCATAATCTCATTGCCCACTGGGGGGACACGCAATGGGCGTATTCGTGCATCAGCACGCGTTACATCGCGCCCCACCCTACAGGTCGGGTAACAAAACAGGCCAAGACGTGAATTGCGTGTACATCATGTTTCTGAACAGGAAGATGGAGTTGCGTGGACATAGACTCCGGCAAACAAACCCAGAGAAGTCCCCGCTGCGTGAATAGGCCTCCCCTGTATCAGCGACCTTTTCATACCTGCACACCTGTGTCAGTCTTCCAATACGACAGTCTACAGCAAGCCTAACCTGTAAACTTCGTGGTGGCTTGTTAAGGATTTTAGAATCGTCCCTAATTTTTTTTCGTCAAATTTGTCGAGTAATTCAGTAACGTGTAAAGGTATAGGGTTTGAGGAGGAGGCCAATCTGCCATGTATACCAGAGATGGGGTGTCCGAGATGGTGAGTGAGTGAATACTGAATCGTCACGAGGTAACTACAATCTTCCCGAAGCAAGGGTGTTAACTGACTATAAAAGTCCAGTTTCCACCCTTGCCGAACTAGGCTGGAATTACGCGACTTGATCAAAGCGCCACCAGTGGCTATTACGAGTTACATTCCTTCTATGTCCCTCCGACTTATAAATCAATTTCGACCTCTTATATTACTTGCGTATGCTTCAGACAAATTGGCGGCGCCCAGTTAAACAATCTGCTCGATAATCATGGTATTTACTGTAGTAAAACGGGTCTTGCCTCGTAAAATGCATGACATCAGTTGAGCATCTTAATTACAAACATGAAAAATTTCTGCCAATGCCAGGTTTACGGTAGTACTACGCATTCTGTGCAAATTCTGCTATCGTCCGAAATCTGCACTGGCTACTGCCCCTGTACGCACTGGCAGGAGTCACGAGGTACCTAATAGCCCTGTACACATTCACTTATGAAACCACACACAAGAGAGTAACGAGGTTTGGAGGAGGTGGTTGTTATTTATTGCTTCACAGCGAGATGTACATCAACAAGACTCCTCACGTCCAGCTGTGTCCGAGTCAGGCACACTTGCACGCCTGACCGTACGCCAGACCACATAGGTTGTTGCTCCTAATGAACGTGCAAATTGGGTTTTCTGAAATTTGATAACACATTGTTTTGTCAAGTGAGAACTTATAACGTTACCTTCCGCACAGTAGCCTCAGCATATTGCCTGACGCAGTTGTTCTTGACATCTTTCAACGACCTGTTACTTGTTCATGTCTTTCGCAAAAGCGGCAAATGACATTCCGGAAGTAAATATGAAACCCTACATTGCTGAGGTTGCGGTAACGTGCCCTATCTTCGACAGAGCAGCTGACGATACACAAAGTTGAACGAAGGAGATGTTATAACAACGTCATTGCAGCAGTGTCATACCAAGTGCTTGCACAGAATATTGCATTTTCCAATAGCAAGAGAGTTAACTGACTTTAAAAGTCCAGTTTCCACCCTTGCCGAACTAGGCTGGAATTAATGGGGTTGATCGTAGCGCCACCAGTGGCTATTACCAGTTATGTCCCGTCTAAGCATCTCCTATGGACCAATCAGATTCCACTTCTCGTATCGCTTGTGTTTGCTTCAAACAAAATGGTGGCGCCGAGTCAGGACAATCTGATCGATAATCAAGATCTATATTGTGATAAAACGGGTCTTACAACGCGAAATGCATCAAATCACGTGAGCACCTTGATTAAAAACATGAATTTTTTTGGAAAATATCTGCTGAGAACGAGTTGGCGGTGCTCATTCTTTGCAAATCCCGAAATCGACCGAAATCTGCACAACAGTTTACGAACCGGATTTCGATTTCGGTGCGCGATTTTGATTAGACTATACATAGACTCGTTAGTCCAACCAAAATGTAACTCCATAATACCAGCCTAGTTCGGCAAGGGTGGAAACTGGACTTGTATTGTCTTTTAACTCTCTTGCCACGGGAAGATGGGAATATTGAGTCTAAACACTATGGCTGTTTATGGTGGTTCTACTGCGCAGCACTATATTGACACTTATCCCTGTGGCTGTATGTTGTGGTTTTACTACAGTATATTGATACTTACACCTATGGCTGTATATGGTGGTTCTACTACAGTATATTGATACTCACACCTGTGGATGTATGTGGTGGTTCTACTGCATTATATTGACACTTATCCCTGTGGCTGTATCTTTGGGTTCTACTGCAGTATATTGACACTTATCCCTGTGGCTGTATGTTGTGGTTCTACTACAGTATATTGATACTTATCCCTGTGGCTGCACATGGTGGTTCTACTACTGTATATTGATACTCACACCTATGGCTGTATATGGTGCTTCTACTGCAGTATATTGACACTTATCCCTGTGGCTGTATGTTGTGGTTCTACTGCAGTATATTGATACTCACACCTATGGCTGTATATGGTGCTTCTACAGCAGTTTATTGAACACTTATCCCTGTGGCTGTATGTTGTGGTTCTGCTCCAGTATATTGATACTTATCCCTTGGGCTGTATGTTGTAGTTCTACTACAGTATATTGATACTTATTCCTCTGGCTGTATGTTGTGGTTCTTCTACAGTATATTGACACGTATCCCTTTGGCTGTTTGTGGTGGTTCTACTACAGTATATTGACACTTATCCATGTGGCTGCATGTGGTGGTTGTGGTATAGCATACTGATACCTATGCACTGACAGGTGGCTTCGTCCAGCATCAGTGGAAGTTCGCAGACCTCACACGTCGATGGGCCGACTGTAAATAACATATTGTGTCTTCATTAATTTGATACATTTGGTTGACTTAATGTTATGGTGTGGATGCGAACAAATAAACTGAACCTGCAGCTGTGTTGCCGCGTCTATTTGTCCACAGGTAGTTAATGATCTTCACACAAGGTGCATATCTACACACAATTTAGGCTACACAGCACATACCCTGCCAACAACAGACTGTAAAACAGTGTTTTATTGCAATACAGACATATGTTGCATGTACGTCTGATAGAGAAATGGATATCGCCATGCACATGACTGCGCTGTGTGTTAATGCCCAAAGGCACAGTTACACAGACAGGGGATGGAGTTCTGACTATACAGATTTAATGGTGTGTAACAGAGGTCGCCCGTCCCTGGGAAGGAGTTCTGACTATACAGATTTACCTGCTGTGTAACAGAGGTCGCCCGTCGTTGGGCAGGAGTTCTGACTATACAGATTACCTGGTGTGTAACAGAGGTCGCCCGTCGTTGGGAAGGAGTTCTGACTATACAGATTTACCTGATGTGTAACAGAGGTCGCCTGTCGTTGGGAAGGAGTTCTGACTATACAGATTTACCTGGTGTGTAACAGAGGCCGCCCGTCCCTGGGATTGAGTTCTGACTATACAGATTTACCTGGTGTGTAACAGAGGCCGCCCGTTCCTGGGATTGAGTTCTGACTATACAGATTTACCTGGTGTGTCAAAGAGGCCGCCCGTCCCTGGGATTGAGTTCTGACTATACAGATTTACCTGGTGTGTAACAGAGGCCGCCCGTCCCTGGGATTGAGTTCTGACTATACAGATTTACCTGGTGTGTCAAAGAGGCCGCCCGTCCCTGGGATTGAGTTCTGACTATACAGATTTACCTGGTGTGTAACAGAGGCCGCCCGTCCCTGGGATTGAGTTCTGACTATACAGATTTACCTGGTGTGTAACAGAGGTCGCCCGTCCCTGGGATTGAGTTCTGACTATACAGATTTACCTGGTGTGTAACAGAGGACGCCCGTCCCTGGGATTGAGTTCTGACTATACAGATTTACCTGGTGTGTAACAGAGGTCACCCGTCCCTGGGAAGGAGTTCTGACTACACAGATTTCCTGGTTTGTAACAGAGATCGCCCGTCCCTGGGAAGGAGTCCTGACTATACAAATTACCTGGTGTGTAACAGAGATCGCCTGTCCCTGGGAAGGAGTCCTGAATTCATAGATTACCTGGTGTGTAACAGAGATCGCCCGTCCCTGGGAAGGAGTTCTGACTATACAGATTTACCTGGTGTGTCAAAGAGGCCGCCCGTCCCTGCGATGGAGTTCTGACTATACAGATTTACCTGGTGTGTAACAGAGGCCGCCCGTCCCTGGGATTGAGTTTTGACTATACAGATTTACCTGGTGTGTAACAGAGGCCGCCCGTCCCTGCGATGGAGTTCTGACTATACAGATTACCTGGTGTGTTACAGAGGTCGCCCGTCCCTGGGAAGGAGTTCTGACTATACAGATTTACCTGGTATGTAACAGAGGTCGCCTGTCCAGCCAAGCACAGACACAAAGGCAGGGGATGGAGTTCTGATTATATGGATTACCTGGTGTGTCACAGAGGTCGCCCGTCCAGCCAGGGGCACAGTTACACAGACAGGGGATGGAGTTCTGACTTCCACCGTTCTCACACGTCTTGGAACATTCTATTCACAAAAGATTACAGGGATAATAAATGGACAATGGAAGCTCTCTGTTGCAGCTTGGTAAAATATAGATTGAACCATCATGGCCAACGAGGGCCACCTCATCATCATGGTCCCCTCCAGCAAGCGATGCTGCGAATCTTTCAAATTATAAACCTATTCATTGGGATCTCTATTAATTAAGAGAGTTCTTTCTATAGGCATTAAAACCTATTGTGAGGATTTCCTTTCAAAGTAAAACCTAGTAAGAGGTTTTACTTTCAAAGTAAAACCTATTAAGAGGATTTACTTTCAAAGTAAAACCTATTATGAGGTTTTATTTTCGTTCGGGAGGTTTTACTTTGAAACCTCAAATCCCAGGTTTAACCAAGTAACTGAAAAAATGACAACAAGTAGCAATTCAAAATTTTAATTCAATTAAAATTGAATGTCATGTGTTCAGTTCCGCGTGGACATTTAAAAGCGACATCACTTCAGAGTCTCTGGTGAAAGGACAGCGAGGTTTCAAAACACGTGCTTTTAAACAAGTGCTTATCAATGCTGCACAATTTGCACGTGCAGTAACTGCAAGCCGCTACGTCACAACTACCTCTATGTAACAGTTGGATTGTTTAAAGTCGAAAATCTTGTAAAGCAAAAAACACCTTTAAAATATGCGAATTTTCGTTTTGAAAAGTTTAAAAGAAGTGGAATATTGCAACACAAACATTTAGAAACCGAAGAATTCACTTCCATTTAAAAGTAAGTATTTTAGTTGTGTTTTGTTGTTGACACATCCAAGTGCTCTTGAACGCCTGGCAAGTCAGCGAATTTCACGTGCAAGTTATGATATCACGTCTTCAAGGAAGCGCTATAATGAAGCGCCTCATTTAAAGATGCTCGTTATAACATTTAATCAATTAAGACGGTTCATAAGTATGGAAAAAGACTTTCCTTCGGTTTTGGTAGACAGGGCATGCGCTGTCTACCAAAACCTCGTAAGCGTGTTTTCTCCAATACGTAGCATCGCATTTTCCATCGCATTTTCCATCGCATTTTCCATCGCATTTTTGGCGCATTTCATCGCAGCATCACATTGCCTGTACTAGGTTTGGCCGCTCATGCGATGATCCTCCTCAGCCATCGGTAGGAACGTCCTACTTACATCTAAATAGTGACCTCAAGACAATTGACTCTTAACGAAACTATAACTACGAGCACCGCCATATATTGATTGTTTAATGTTGCAATTGATTGAAGAGGGTTGGGTATAATTACTGTGGATTGATTTGGCATATACAGTCTGTAATTGTCAATATATTTAAATAAACCCAAATTTAGAAAGAGGACGCTTGTCCTGGAAATATATACCTTAAGGATGAGAAGGTTTTGGACGAAAGTGTTTTATATCCAGAGTATGAAGATAGCTTCAATAAAACACTGCCCCTTTAAAGTACGTATATATTATATGCAGTGAGTGAGGAGGCCGTAAAATACACGCGTACGCGATAACCCGATAGCCAAGAAAAAGCGGCGGTCAATCACGTCGCCTTTAACTACTGACTCTCCAACAACATCCTAACATGCAAACCATCATGCTGTTATTATAACCAACACACGCAGTTATCAAATTCAATGACCGGACATGTCTACGTGCAAACCGAGGAATCGGTAATTGTTAAACAGTTGGCTTTTAACTTTACTACTACTACTACTACTACTACTACTACTACTACTACTACTACTACTACTACTACTACTACTACTACTTATGGGAAGACGTGGTTTGATTAAACTTGGGGCTCTTCATGATAGAAATGTTTTGTGCACTTTGCACACATTTATTTGACTGATTATCATCTTGTGAAGTATGTTTTTGAAAACAAGGCATTCCACAGTTTTCTAAAACGAGCCAAGGATGTGGGACATAATCTCAATGTCGGTGTTGATTTTGTTGATGGTTCTGTACTGGTGGACGTATAGAAGTGAGTGTCAACCAAGCGAAGTGCCTTATCAAGTAGGCCCAGACTCAGTTTTTCAAGGAGAGGCTTTCTGAACGACCACTGCATCGAGATTATGTGCAGTGTGTTGAGAGGATAAGCAATCTTATCTTATAAGAGTCCTTCGCTTGGATGAAGTCGTCTGGACTGAAAAGCGAAACTGAAGGCTTTCTGTTCGCTGCTCAGGACCAGTCACTTCCCACTCGAAACCGTCAATGTGTGATTTTGCATCAAAACGTAAATATGAAATGTAGAATATGTAAAGAATTTAATGAGACTGTCCAACACATTGTCAGTGGATGTCCAGCTTTGGCACAAACACAGTATGTTAAACGACATGATGGTGTAGCTCGATCATTTTATTACCGTCTTCGCCATGCTTGTGGTTTTGACACAGAGGTCCATCCATAGTACGACCCGGAATATGTACAGGGCGTCATGGAAAATGATAATATAAAATTCTTTGGAATAGGCCCATTTACAGCCTTTGACGTATTCAGGCCATCAAACCTGATCTTGCCCTTTTTGATAAATCCAATGAAATCATTTATATCATTGAATTTTCTGTCCCCATTAACACTAATGTGATTGACAAGATTGAGGAAAAACATGGCAAATATGCGGACCTCGCTTTCGAAATGTCACGCTTGCATCCCAAGTACCAAGTTGTCCGACTCCCCATTGTTCTCGGTGCCTTAGGTTTGGTACCTCCCAATCTGTTGACTGACATCGGGTTTGCTACCAGGAATACAGCTCTTCTGACAATCTGGGTTATGCAGAAGCCTGCAGTGTTGGAGAGTCTTTACATTCTCCAAAAAGTTCTGGGTGGGTTTGACTAGGCAGCGCTTCCTGGGAGATGTCCCATTCGCTGTCTGGGCTGCGTGTAGAGGGGGCAAGGGACCTGAGCTGATGATGAGCCTAACCAGCCTGTCTGCCAGGATCACCCAAACCCTCTTTGCTTCATTTATTTATATTTTAATCTGTAAATAATAATAATAATAATAATAATGATAATAATAATAATAGGCCCATTCACAGCCCATTTACACCATGGAATTGTATGTCCCCTTTGACACTAATGTGATTGACAAGATTGAGGAAAAACATGGCAAATATGCGGACCTCGCTTTCGGAATGGCACGCTTGCATCCCAAGTACCAAGTTGTCCGGCTCTCCATTGTTCTCGGTATAATAATAATTGTAGTTTCTTGGATTTGGTCAACATAATCACAACGTTTTTTGAGAAATGTAGCATTATTCTTAAATAGAAGCAAATATCATCAGAAGAAATTCACTGGGAAAACAGTGTGTGAAAATCTGGACTCCTCGTTGATAACTTCTACGTGAACTTTGGGGATAGGACTTTGGGCAAGAAGTTGGCGTCCTCATGGGCACCAATTATGCTCCCCTCGCTGTTTCCTCATGCACATGAATCGGAGGTTCTGCACGGATTGGCAAAATCCAACAGCTGAAATTGGCCAAGACGTTTATTTTATCGTAAATGATGGTCAAATAGCAAATTCCCTACCACTGATTTATCCACATGGTCTGGAAATAAAAAAGTGACAAAAACCCTCTCCACAAGACGATGGCAAGACGGATGGCTTCAATAGTCAACTTTCCTTTTGTGTCGAGCAATATGACAGCAGCTCCAGCCTTTCACCACGTCTGAGGTACAATCGAGCATGTTATTTCTTCGAAGATGTCAAAGCGCGTCATACCAATATTTTTTTTCAGGCGAGCAGTTGACTTACCTGTGTATGTATTTGTGCACTGGAGCAGGATACGCTCGCATTTTTCGCAAACACCTGGTATTATCCCTATCTGATAATGATTCATAAACACATGCTTATGATATAGTAGGATTTGAATAATGGATTCTGCTTTTAGCAGAGACTTTTCGTGATTATTAAAATGATTTTATCGCTTTGACTTTCTACACAACACACCAGCCAGAGACAAAGTACTGTAAATCGTGAAATTAATGCGTCTCCAAAAGAATGCGACCACTTGCCCCTAGCCAAAAATGTGGCTCAATGTGAATGCGACCCCCCCTGGGTCTGACAGGAGGAAGTTGTGCACAGCTTAAAGGGTGTCTTCGTGTCGTCCGGGGTCTGTCTGGATAATATTTTGACAAGATTTTAGCAAAATAAATGGCCACCTGCTCTGATATTGAAATTGAAAGTACACTTAATTTTACTTAAAACCCGTTAGGTCATTAGCTTGAATTGCTGAGGACAATGAGACACATATAGCATTATCGAGTGTCGTACAAGGTGAGGATTAAATGGGGTTTCACGCGGCGTCCAAGATTATTACACTTATATAGCGTGCAGTGTGGCTGCTTGTACTAGTCCGGACTAATGCCGTTTTTATAGTGCCAGCCCACTAAGATACCATGCCGTAGTTGAACATGAATACCCCACTCAGACACAGTATACTGACTCCGAGCCGATCACTCCTTGTCCCCTAATGCCGAGCGCCAGGAAGGGTAACGACAAGTACCATCTTTTAGCGTCTATTGGTATGACGCGGTCGGGATCAAACCCCGAACCTTCCGCTCTCCGGACACACGCTCTACCACTAGACCACGGAGGCGGTCTTTGTCGATACAAGAAGAGATTGCATAAACAACCGTGCCTAGAAATCAATTTCAAAGTATTAATTTTTTTTATCAGATTGATGTCTGCAAACTGTTACAATTAACATATGTTCATGTACGCTATGCAGAAACTCCATCCATCATATTGAAGTCACATACTGAGCCTCATCTCTCAACCCGACCCCATCACCGTTAAAGACTCACCCTCCAGCGTAGTTGCAGACAATGTACTCCTTCGTTTCGTCTCCCTCAGCACATCTCGCCCGACCACACCCTATGCGTGTCACACGTTCCAGAACAACCTGAATATCATTACAACACAGTAAACCACCAAGGTCGTTCGTTGATGTATCTGGTAATGTTACATCCAGCATTAATTGGCCGATGATTTGTTGGTAGTCTAGGTTTCAGTGCATTCTCCTCGGAACAGCCACAAATGTAATTTGTCCTTTTCAGAATATCACCAGCCAGAAAGCATCCTCAAGCGCCAATGCAGGTTATCGGAAAATGAGTGTGTCGGTGCATCAAGCGTTAACTGTAAGCGATGGATGAATACAAACAATTCTGTTTGCGTATGGTGGTGTTTTTAAGTGTTGAAAACTAACCACAAATGAATTAATTATCGTGTTGTCATACATTTACGGGGGCACGGGTGGCCCAGTCGTCTAAGGCGCCGCGATTTGCTGTGCAGGGTTGCGTCCCTTGGGCACGCCAGAAACCTATGATTGTGGGTTCGAATCCCGGTTCGCCCCGATTATGTTTCTAGGTTTGTCAGCACCATACCCGTGCTCGTGGGTTTCACCGAAGTGGTAAACGTCTGAGACCTGCATCGTTAAACCTAACTCACTCACTCACTCATAGATTTACACTCTGTAAATCCGATCGCCTATAATAACCTGAATCTATAAATAAAAAGAGTGGCTTCAAAAAGGAGGGGTGGTTGGCTACCCCTGCCTCCCCTCTGGACCTCGTATGATGATCCGGGGTAGAATAGGTCTTCAGTAACCCATGCTTGCCGTAAAAGGTGACTTTGCTTGTCACTAACGGGATCGGATTGTCAGGCTCGCTGACTTGGTTGATGCTTGTCATCGATCCCAATTTCATGGATCGATGCTAATGATATTAATCACTGGATTGCCTGATCTAGACTCGATTATTTACATATAGCTGGAATATTGCTGAGTACGGCGTTAAACAACAAACCAACCAACCAACGAACCAATCGCATGATTGGAGTGTATCATAATAAAGCCATGTAATATATAAAGACGTTTACATGAGTGACATATCTAAACCAGAACCATAAACAACCTATATCATTTTTACGTAAATTGGCGTTAAACTATTTCTTATTGGCATTATTTCGATCTCTACTATTGAATGAGCAGTACACGCCACCTGCATGTCACGTGATGGCTACTGCAGCACGAAGCTGCTACTGGTCAGAGAGTCTGTACCTGTGTGTAGTGGCCAATCACACCGCCATTCTTTGATCCAGTGCTGTACTCAAAATCCACGATCTCGCCATGCCACAGTGTCGTCGCGCTGAGGTAGGAGTAGCTCGCTCCGTAGTAGTTGGCCACGTTCTGGCCCATTATCACACCCGTCAGAGCTTGATGGAGAAACATAGATAAATATATTATCACAACCGTCAGATGTATATGGGGAAATATACGTTATCCTAATCAACATACCGGGAAGAGCTTTATTGGAAAATATCCATAATCTTCATAACCACACCCGGCAGATTTATGCATATATAATCCTAATGATCACGGTGTCTAGCCGTGAGAGCCACATTTCAGAAATGGCTATTGCCGGTAGAGCCACATTTTCAGCTGAGGGCATTTCACCTATTCTAGCGGGTAATTACTTAATCCGATTACCGATACCTTTATATGAGTGTCCCACATTTAAGTTACTAAGCGTGGTGTTCTTTAGAGATACCTTTAAATGAGTGTCCCACATTTAAATTACTAAGCGTGGTGTTCTTTAGAGATACCTTTAAATGAGTGTCCCACATTAGTTGGACTTTGAACGTGCAGCTCACAATGCCGTGACTGATGTATTTCCTGGGACATTAGTTAGAGGGTGTTTCTTTCACTTCACCCAATGTATCTGGAGGAGGGTGCAGAACGAAGGTCTGGTGATGGACTATAAGGAAGATGAGGAGGTGAAGAAGCTGTAACCAATGATCACACCCGGCAGAAACATGTGTAAATATATATAATCCTAATTATCACATCCGGCAGAAAGGTATGTGTAAATATGCATAATCCTAATTATCACACCCGGCAGAAACACGTGTAAATATGCATAATCCTAATTATTACACCCGGCAGAAAGGTATGTGTAAATATGCATAATCCTAATTATCACACCCGGCAGAAACATGTGTAAATTTACATAATCCTAATTATCACACCTGGCAGAACCTCATGTGTAAATATACATAATCTTCATTATCACACCCGGCAGAAACTTATGTTTAAATGTACATAATCCTAATTATCACTCCCGACAGAAACTTATAAGTAAATATACGTAATCCACATTTTCACACCCGGCTAGATGCAAAAACATCTGTTCAAAATTCAATATAGCCCCGAATAGAAGAAATATCCACCGTAACAGAATGTTGGCACAAGAAGGAGTTTTGTATCAAAATACTTTTCCACAAACCGGTGTAACCTTCATTATAGGAATGGAAAGTGTCATATTAGGTTTCGTTCTTTATTTGATGGTGTGAAGAGTGACGAAACACGTATTTCCAGGCTCTATCAGAATATTGGAGATTTAGCGATAACTCATCTTAGGAAAATGCGTTCTGCGTGTCATGCTTGCATCGTGACAGTTTTACGACATTGTGTGCATGACGATTCTTGGCCATGTGTTACTGACCTACAACAGCCTGATATAGATAGAAGTTGTTTCCCTAGAGTCACAAACCAAGACATATAGTTAATCAAATTATTTACATCATTGATTTTGGTCTAAATGATAAAATATTGTCTCCACGTAAGTCGTTAGACTCTGCTTTGTCAACACTGCGTCACTCTGTCTGAAGCAACCTCTACGGTGCTGGTCAGTAGTGGTCAGTGGTCTTGGATACATGTGGTTCTCGTGTCACAACGTCCAGGGGGTAGCACATGACTTCCCGTCACCTTATAGTCGACATGTTAACAGCTGGATTCTCGTTAACACTCCTTGGACAAGAGAACATATGTCCAATGCATAACGATACACGTGGGGTGTTGATACTTCATTTGGTAATAAATGTTTTACATATAGCAAAGTACAAATAGCTACTAGTGTCTTGATAGTGTTCGACTTGAGATTTCCCTGTCTACAATATGTCAAATGAGCATTAGCAGGAAGCGTTCATTCAATCTCAAATGTTCCCCAGTCTCCTTTGTGTATATCACCCGGGTCAACAACAGACACAATCCTCGTTCATCTAACCAGGAATTACATAGTAAGAAGCTCACATGGTGTGACCATCCACGTTCATCTAACCAGAAATTATACAGTAACAAGTTCACATTGTGCGACCATCCACGTTCAACTAACCAGGAATTCCACAGAAGAAAGTTCACATTGTGCGACCATCCACGTTCATCTAACCAGGATTTACAGATCATAGAAATCCGAACGCAACAATTCGTCATAAATGGCATGAAAGTTATTTATCTGTCCATACCAACTCGTCACCATAATTTCAGACACTGTCGTGAAATGTGGAAAAAGCTGTTTAACAAACTATCATTTAACTGTTGGTGGTTTAATGCCTGGTGTAACAATTCTTATAATGAAGATCCTTTGTGGATTTCGAGAGAGAATGGGTACCCAACTACCAATGCTGTGAAACATGCGTTGTCGCCCTTACAAAAACAAGCACAGAGTGTCAAAATTAACAAAGTGCGGCGATTCGACATTTTGGTCATTTGTCTCATTGTCGCATTGCCACGCCTCGAAGAGAATTACGTTTTTTGCCTAAGCGCGACAATGCGACAAAGGTTTATCCTCTGTTTGCCATTACATAGCAAGGGATTAACAGTAGGTGTGTTTTTACAAGTAAAGGGGGCACGGCAGGCTGTTTCTACAGACCTCTCTCCCCGAGTACACATCTAGGATGAGATGGAAAGAAGTCTACGACAGGACCAGAACCAGCCGGTCACGCTAGCTCAGCTTGGTCAATGTTTGGTTGACATTTGGAACAACATCTCCCAGGCTGCTTTCAATCTTCTGGTGTTTACAATGTTTCGCCGCAGCTTCGCCTTTATCAACGTGCAAATTGTGGTCACACCCAGTACATACATTGTTAGTAGAGTTGTTACACCACCCCATATTTAGGGCGTGTCTCGCAGTCTCCTGTTACGAGGTATAGGTTTTGTCAATGGATATGTTATGATAAAAACATTGATCAGATGAATGGCTAAATATATTGTTGTTATTTTCAATAAACATTTACACCACCTTATATGAACACAGATACGTTTTCACGTAAGTACATTAATAACATACGTAAATTTACGTTTCTGAATCTATCTAGCCATTATCACGAGCATGCGTTGACCGCAGATGTAGTCTGCTCTGTCTTCCGTTCGATCCCTGTTTGGTTATTTGCTTAAATGATCACTCCGCGTGCATACAAACGGCTCAGTGAAAATATATTCATTACTTTGTGAACATGTCAGTTTAATGGCAGTGGTGTTTACACTATTGCACAGACAGTATATGATCAACCAATGTTGTGTGGCAGTAGAAATTGTTGTAAGTTGTCAGTGGCAGCAAATGATTGAAGCGCTGGTAAAATGTTGGGTGCTGTCGGCGGCTGTGTGTGAGTGAAATTAGAGTATTTCATCATGACTACAGACGTGACACACAAACTCTGATCAGAATTCCAACGTCGATTGAAAGTTTGGAGGATAAATGCACAAGTGGTTTGAGAAATAAGGAATGTTAATACAGAGAAATGTATATTTTTTTGTTAGAGAAGATATTTGAATATGTCAACTTAATTATTCGTTGATTGTAAGTTATTATTTGTTTATTGAAGTGTAGTGAGTGTTGGCAGCTCTAGAAGACCATTGTTCCGAATAAGTGTTCTCGTGTTTAGGATATAAAATCAGCTTTGTGAGCCAAAGTTATATTTGTGTATCTCAAAGGATAAGACGATCCTAGGCTGACATTGGTTTCACCTACAGGTTCATACATAGTGATGAATTAGGACAAACACACACTGTGTTTTTAACTGCAGACATACTTCTAAAATTAAATATTAACTGAATGCACAGCGTAAAACAAAACAAACAGAGAAATATTGGAGTGTAATTTATTTCTGCAACTGCAAGAAACTTTGCAAGTCCTTTCTTGACCTGTAAAACAACGGCAGGGGATATATGATTTGCATATCAATTTTTGAACATAGACACTATGAATTGCATCAAGTGCCAGAGACAAGGTTTGGATTTTGATTCTCTCTTAGCCTTCCTGGTCAGGCTGCTTCTTGGCTACAGCTAGCTCGAAGCGGCGTAAAACTTTACTATCTCACACACCACATACCGTGTTTAACTAGGGACAGCCTGGGCAGACGCTGGCGTAAAAGGGCAGGGCCTCACATAGGTTGTTTCCGATGAGGAAGGTGCATATTGGGTTTTCTGCAGTGAAATGCGAAACAAGTATTCATAGCCATACGTGGTTACATAACTATGGGACCAAGATGATAACATAAGTAATTGCCATTTTTAAATGTCACATGTGATATGTAGATATTGGGCTAACCTTTGTTAGTCGTTACAACGCAAACTACGAACAAGTTCTAATTCAATTTGAGAAACACATTGTACATTGCATCATTGGAAAATAATATTCAGTTCAAAGCATACAAAAGTATATTTTATCTTATTTAAATATAATATATATGTGTTTGAAACGGCTGATACTTATGATGTAACAAGTGATACCAATCTATCGTTTGTTTGTGAAATCAATGGTATTTTGATTTCGAACATACATGCATACATTTAACTTTTCTCTGGTTAGGACAAGAGGGATGACTACAACTTTCCAATAGTCAACTTTCCCTTCATGTCGAGCAATAGTCAAGCAGCTCCAGCTCTTGGTGTCCACATTTTACATCTTTTGAGATACAATCGAGCATGATCTTTCTACCAAGATTTCAAAGAGGGGCATGCGACTCTTGCTCAGAAGTTGTTTGATCAAGGTTACAACATTCAAGGCCACAGTAAAGCTTATAAAAAGATATAAGGTAGACGCGTGAAGGACATTTCCAAATTTGACGCATCAGTGACAAAAATTATGTCGGATGCAATTCCTTATTTTGACTTGTATCATATGTTCTCGTGTTTTTCAGGTTACCATTTGACATGCCTTTGCATGTGTTTGTGACGGGTGCCACCGATGGGGCAGGATGCGCTTACCTTTTTGCGAACACCTGGTATCATCACTTTTTGACAATGTTTTCATAAACACATGGTCATGAAAAAATCGGAATCGTATTTTAGACTCTGCTTTAGACTCTGATTTCTATTGGATATGGAAAGGGTTTTGTGGCTTTATTTGCAGTACCTGCTACGCATGTGCAGGTGTCAGAGTTCAAAGTCTCAGAGTCCGCGCAGGTGACGTCACACGGGTCTGGAGTTGTTGCATCAGCGCCACCTGTGAAAGGCACACATGACCCATCATGTACGGAATGTCAAGGTGGTTGTGATTCTGACTGGTTTATAAGCGAACGTGAGCCTAGACTCACAGATATGTTACACACATACAAGGTATTCTGAGGTGTCACGTTATTCCAGATGGGAACTATGCTCTGTGTTTAGGGCATCGTTGTCACGGAAGCCGTACGTATTCCATTATATAATGTTAATGGATGACAGGCGTTTGCATCTTCCCGAGACAAGAGAGTTTACTGACTATAAAAGTCCAGTTTCCACCCTTGCCGAACTAGACTGGTATTATGGAGTTACATTTTGGCTGCATGTCTATGAATAGTCCAATCAAAATCTCGCACCGAAATCGAAATCCGGTTCGTAAACTGTCTTGCAGATTTCGGTCGATTGCAGGATTTGCAAAGCATGTGCACCGCCAACTCGTTGTCAGCAGATATTTTCCAAAACTTTTCCTGTTTTTAATCAAGGTGCTCTCGTGATTTGATGCATTTCCCGAAGTAAGACCCGTTTTATCACAATATACATCTTGATTATCGATCAGATCGTCCCGACTCGACGCCACCATTTTGTGTGAAGCAAACGCAAGTGACACGAGAAGTGTAATCTGATTGGTCCATAAGAGAGGCTTAGAAAGGACATAACTGGTAATAGCCACTGGTGGCGCTACGATCCAACCCAGTAGTTCCAGCCTAGTTCGGCAAGGGTGGAAACTGGACATTTAAAGTCAGTTAACTCTCTTGCCTCGGGAAGATGAGACGTATGTTGACCTTATTGAGATTGGGAGAACTAGGAATTACGCATACAACTGGAACACGTCGTTTCTGTCAGAAAAAAAACCCAAACGAAATTCGCTTTGTGTACTTTTGTCCTATCTGTACTGAAACACGTTCAACATATTTCCCATATTGAGATGACAGTGCTGACAATGATCGCAGAGACAGACTGGTGAGGATGTTCAAATATCGATCTCTGGTGAGGTGAGATGAAATGGGGTTTAGCCTCGCGTCCAAGATTATTGCACTTATATAGCGACGTGCATGTCGTGTGTGTGTGTGTGTGTGTGTGTGTGTGTGTGTGCTTTGTACTAAATCATGCCGCAGTTTAACATGAATACCCCACTCAGACATAGAATACCAACACCGAGCTGATCAGTGCTTGTTTTAGCCCCTTAATGCCGAGCGCAAGCAGGGTGACAACAAGCAACATCTTTTAAGGTCTTTTGGTATGACGCGACCGGGGAAAAAACCCCGGGCCTCCGAGCGAACGCTCTACCACTAGACCACGGAGGCGGTCTCAATCTCTGGTATGTCGTTTCCACTCGATTATTTCACGACTACAGCAATGTTGCTGGAACATTTATGAGTGCAGCGTAAACGATAAACCAATACAGTGTTACTTACATCGATAAACCAATACAGTGTTACTCACATTGTCCGCATGTTTCTGGACAGAGAAGATCCCTGACTCCCTCAAAAGCACAGTACCTGTCGAGGTCCGCCTCGATCACTGGACATATGTAGAAGTCGGCGGACTCACATTTGTCTGGGAATAGAGTTTGAATACATTCATTTACAGTACGGGTAGGATGTTTGGAGAGGTCTGATTACTTCTACCTGTTCATAGTCACCAAGTGGGAGGTGGGACTCATGATGGACAGGGATATCCCAAGCTTTTACTTCGGTGGCGTGTGAGGGTAACTGCTGCAGTAACTGTTAGATCAGTGTGTATGTGGCATCACTACAGCTGCTGTTACATCGGCGTGGATGTCACTACGGCGGTTGTTACATCGGAGTGTATGTCACTACAGCGGATGTTACATCGGAGTGTATGTCACTACAGCGGTTGTTACATCGGCGTGTATGTCACTACAGCGGATGTTACATCGGCGTGTATGTCACTACAGCGGATGTTACATCGGCGTGTATGTCACTACAGCGGATGTTACATCGGAGAGTATGTCACTACAGCGGATGTTACATCGGCGTGTATGTCACTACAGCGGATGTTACATCGGCGTGTATGTCTCTACAGCGGTTGTTACATCGGAGAGTATGTCACTACAGCGGATGTTACATCGGAGTGTATGTCACTACAGCGGATGTTACATCGGCGTGTATGTCTCTACAGCGGTTGTTACATCGGAGAGTATGTCACTACAGCGGATGTTACATCGGAGTGTATGTCACTACAGCGGATGTTACATCGGCGTGTATGTCACTACAGCGGATGTTACATCGGCGTGTATGTCTCTACAGCGGTTGTTACATCGGAGTGTATGTCACTACAGCGGATGTTACATCGGAGTGAATGTCACTACAGCGGATGTTACATCGGAGTGAATGTCACTACAGCGGATGTTACATTGGAGTGTATGTCACTACAGCGGATGTTACATCGGAGTGAATGTCACTACAGCGGTTGTTACAGCGGAGTGTATGTCACTACATCTGCTGTTACATCGGCGTGTATGTCACTACAGCGGTTGTTACATCGGAGTGTATGTCACTACAGCGGATGTTACATCGGCGTGTATGTCACTACAGCGGATGTTACATCGGAGTGTATGTCACTACAGCGGATGTTACATCGGAGTGTATGTCACTACAGCGGATGTTACATCGGAGTGTATGTCACTACAGCGGATGTTACATCGGCGTGTATGTCTCTACAGCGGTTGTTACATCGGAGTGTATGTCACTACAGCGGATGTTACATCGGAGTGAATGTCACTACAGCGGATGTTACATCGGAGTGAATGTCACTACAGCGGATGTTACATTGGAGTGTATGTCACTACAGCGGATGTTACATCGGAGTGAATGTCACTACAGCGGTTGTTACAGCGGAGTGTATGTCACTACATCTGCTGTTACATCGGCGTGTATGTCACTACAGCGGTTGTTACATCGGAGTGTATGTCACTACAGCGGATGTTACATCGGCGTGTATGTCACTACAGCGGATGTTACATCGGCGTGTATGTCACTACAGCGGATGTTACATCGGAGTGTATGTCACTACAGCGGATGTTACATCGGAGTGTATGTCACTACAGCGGATGTTACATAAGAGTGTATGTCACTACAGCGGATGTTACATCGGAGTGTATGTCACTACAACGGATGTTACATCGGAGTGTATGTCACTACAGCGGATGTTACATCGGAGTGTATGTCACTACAGCGGATGTTACATCGGAGTGTATGTCACTACAGCGGATGTTACATCGGAGTGTATGTCACTACAGCGGATATTACATCGGAGTGTATGTCACTACAGCGGATGTTACATCGGCATGTATGTCCCTACAGCTGCTGTTACATTGGAGTGAATGTCACTACAGCGGATGTTACATCGGCGTGTATGTCACTACAGCGGATGTTACATCGGAGTGTATGTCACTACAGCGGATGTTACATCGGCGTGTATGTCACTACAGCGGATGTTACCTAAGAGTGAATGTCACTACAGCGGATGTTACATCGGAATGTATGTCACTACAGCGGATGTTACATCGGCGTGTATGTCACTACAGCGGTTGTTACATCGGAGTGTAAGAGACGTCACTACAAAAACCTTCACATCGGAAACTACGGGACATTATTATAGTTGCTGGTACAGACAGACAGATATAGTTTATTAAAGTGTCACAAGTTAAACACACATAGCTAATTTAAAACATTTCATGGCACAATAAAAGATGGTTAACATCCAGCTATAACTTGGCTCACGAGACACTACATTTATTACATTGTGTACGGTAAAATACTATTCACAATGAAATAATCGTTATAAAATGATGTTGTACAATATACAATACAAGCATCATATGAATAATTGTCGTCTAAAAACATGTTTGGCAGAAGCGATACATTTGATGCGCTTAATGTGCGGATTATTGTCAGATAACAATTTCATGAACAGATCTTTAGGCTTTGTAGAATTGTAACAATATTATTTAATGTTGTATCTCAGGTCCTTATAACAATTACACTCTGAAAGGAAATGAACTTCTATTTCCACTTTGTTTCATCAGTGTAGACCCGTGAAGATCCGGGGTAGAATAGGTCTTCAGCAACCCATGCTTGCCGTAAAAGGCGACTATGCTTGTAAGAGGCGACTAACGTGATCGGGTGGTCAGGCTCGTTGACTTGATTGATGCATGTCATCAATTCCAATTGCGTGGATCGATGCTCATGATGTCAATCACTGGATTGTCTGGTCCAGACTCGATTATTTACAGACCACCGTCATATAGCTGGAATATTGCTGAGAGCGGCGTAAAACAACAAACAAACAAACAAACAAACATCAGTGTATAATTATGTGAGGCTTACCACAACGCCCACAGGCGGCTGGACATAGCTGGATGCCCATGATGGGGTTGTCGCACAGGTCTGCGTAGGCAGCGTTGTTGGCCAGTATCGGACAGAACGGCTGATCAATAACGGCGCAGTTCGCTGACAAAATACGAATGATCGTATTATCAATTAAACAAAGTACTATTCTAGTGTCAGTGTTCAATATAGTTCAATGTTCAATATATGCTAGACAGATGTAATCGTTTGAAAGGGGTGGGGTAACTTTTCGCATAGTGTTTAATGCAACATTGCCAAATACTGGGTTGGATGGCTATTGAGGCGTAGTAAACAGAAGTCGTCAGTGATTTCAAGACAGTCAGGTATTGGGAATTATGGAACAGATAAAATAATTACTTTTGGGTTGAAAATAACGAGTCTGTTGAAGTTACCTGTTGCAGGGACACAGGTGCATGTTGTATCGTCCAGAATCTCGTCAGCTCCACATGAGAGTGCACATGGATCGCCAGGCCCTCCAGGTCCTGGAGTAGCGTCTGGGTCCAGATATGTAGGTATATATACAACTTGTACATCATATGTAGGTATATATGCAACTTGTACATCATATGTAGGTATATATGCAACGTGTACATCATATGTAGGTATATATGCAACGTGTACATCATATGTAGGTATATACACAACTGGTACATCATATGTAGGTATATATGCAACTTGTACATCATATGTAGGTATATATACAACTTGTACATCATATGTAGGTATATATACAACTTGTACATCATATGTAGGTATATACACAACTGGTACATCATATGTAGGTATATATGCAACTTGTACATCATATGTAGGTATATATACAACTTGTACATCATATGTAGGTATATACACAACTGGTACATCATATGTAGGTATATATGCAACTTGTACATCATATGTAGGTATATACACAACTGGTACATCATATGTAGGTATATATGCAACGTGTACATCATATGTAGGTATATATACAACTTGTACATCATATGTAGGTATATACACAACTGGTACATCATATGTAGGTATATATGCAACTTGTACATCATATGTAGGTATATATACAACGTGTACATCATATGTAGGTATATATACAACTTGTACATCATATGTAGGTATATATGCAACGTGTACATCATATGTAGGTATATATGCAAAGTGTACATCATATGTAGGTATATATGCAACGTGTACATCATATGTAGGTATATATACAACTTGTACATCATATGTAGGTATATATGCAACTTGCACATCATATGTAGGTATATATGCAACTTGTACATCATATGTAGGTATATATGCAACGTGTACATCATATGTAGGTATATATGCAACTTGTACATCATATGTAGGTATATATGCAACTTGTACGTCATATGTAGGTATATATGCAACTTGTACATCATATGTAGGTATATATACAACTTGTACATCATATGTAGGTATATATGCAACTTGTACATCATATGTAGGTATATATGCAACTTGCACATCATATGTAGGTATATATGCAACGTGTACATCATATGTAGGTATATATGCAACTTGTACATCATATGAAGGTATATATGCAACTTGTACATCAGATAGATAGATAGATCTTCTTTATTTCCTCCATTTCATGAAGAGTACAAGGTATACAGTGAAAGGACAACATCTATAGTATAAATGTGCACACACACATACATATATATATTACATATATGTCAGAAGTAGTTCATAAAAAATATTATACATATGTATCGTATTGATTATTTGTGTTATTAGATGGACAATTAGCATGTGTTATTTACAAATGTACACTTGTTTACAATACATACATTGTTTAGTATAAGCAGCTTCGGATGACTTCATCCCACCTTTTTACTGCACCACCAATATTTATCATGCTCTCTGCCCATACATTGTAGTCTAATTCTACTTCAAGTTGTTCAGGTAAACCGCCAAGCAAAAAAGTCAGAAAGGTGTCATCGTCTGCCCAGATTCTAACAAATATTTTAACATCAAGCAAATCAATGATTTTATCAAATATGATATTTCTTTCTTCTAAATTATTTTGACATGACATGAAAACGTGTTTCACTATATCATTCGCAACTGTTCCACAAATACATTCCTTTGATTCTATTGGCATTGAACCTAAGCGAACTAGTCTAGCTAAGGAAGTAAAATATTCTGGTCTATCGAGAGCAAGTTTCCATAATCTATGTTCTCTTCCAGATCGTATTGTTAGATATCTTGACAGAGATAATCTGCTCAGAAACGCATTGTTTAGTAATTGTTTTTCGTGTAGGTGAATCTTTTCTTTCACCAGTTTTGACCATAATCGTTTCTTGATGAAATTTGAACACATTATATAATCATTAACCTCGTCAGATAAATTATATTTGGAGACAAGATGTAGCATGCTAAAGATGGGTGATTTCGTGTCCCACTTGTTCTTATTAACTAGTGTTGTTTTATATCTAAACTGTCCAAGTCGGGCTAGAAACATTTGTTTGAAAATATACATTAGGTTTGAATTACATAGCTTACCAAGGAGCAAAAGCTTTTGTTGATCAATGTATCCTTGTACTGATATAACACCAATTGTGTCCCTCTCTATTTCTTTAGGCATACGCTTATTAAAACCCTGGATTTTCTTACTGAAATAGCGTTGAGTGATTTCTAGCATTTCATATTCCTTTAATGATAGTTTTCCCCACACATTACATCCATATAAGCCACAGGGTAATATCACTCGTTGCCAGATGCGCACGGCGGCTATAGGATTAAGTCCACCAAAGTACAGGCCAGAATCATGGTTTACATTTATCAATTTTCTCAGTTTTTCACATGCTAACCTCGTTCTTTCTACCGAAGTTTTAGCAGTACTTATGTACACTCCCGCATAGACAATTGCCTTTTGAACAGGTAATTTTATCTTACCAATGTAAAGATGTTCAGGCGACACTATTTTTTTACTACATCCAAAAGTTAGGACAGCACTTTTGAACACATTGTATTTTAACTGCCACTTGTTACCATAATTTTCTGCAACGTTTAGGAGCATTTGAAGACCTGTTGTGTTACAGCTGATCAAGGTCGTGTCGTCTGCTAACAGTATTCCTGGGCATCGTCCCCATGGGAGACATAGTCCACAACCGGAATTGCTTAGTTCATGAAGCAAATCGTTTATATAAAGAGTAAAGAGCCATGCTGATATGACACGACCCTGGCCTACACCCTGTTTAACAGGGAAAACATCAGATTTGAAGCCAGCAAAGCTAACACATGAGTACATAGAATTGTAAGACAAACGTAGAATTCTCCATAATTTACCATTGATACCAAATTTATGTAATTTGTAGAAGAGACCGTCAAGCCAAACACGATCGAAGGCTTTCTCGTTATCGAGGAAGGCACAATAAACTGGTGAGTTTCTTTCGTTAAAGTATGAAATACTTTCTAGAAGAGTGAGAGCCGCCGTTTCAGCACCAGCATTTTTTCTAAATCCAAACTGTAGTGGGTGAGGGAAGGTTACATCGTCGCTTATCCATTTTTCGATTCTGTTGAGAAGCATTCTTTCGAAAAGCTTACTTAGGACTGAAGTTAGTGTTATGCCCCTGTAGTTAGATGGATCACTTTTACTTTTTCCTCGTCCCTTATGTACTGGTAAGATTTCGCCAATATGATACATTTTGGGTATATATTCATGTTTAATAATAGCATTGAATAAAACCATAATATGCTTTAATAAAGATCTTCCCGCATACTTAATATGTTCGTTTGTGAGCCCATCAGGTCCCGGAGATTTATTGTTTTTCAGTCCTTTAACTGTACTTACTACCTCTGCAATGGTGAATGGTCTCTTCAATGGATGGTTAGCAGTTACATCGGTATCAGCATCAGATGTTTCGTTGTTTTCAATATTTTTGACTGAGCATATTACTTCATCAGCAAAAGAGCAGTCAAAATGACTTTCCATGGTTGGGATTGACAAGTCTCGAAAGTATTTACCAAAGATTCCACAAATACCTTCCGCGTTACTACTTTGGTTACATTTATAAAGAAGTTTGTGTACTTGGTCCTTAGTTTTGTGATATCGTTTAGCAGTTTTAAAGTATTCATGTACATCTATTTCAGCTGCCTCATAAAGTTCTTTCAGTCTGCTATCTATGAGCGATTGTTTGGATCTGCGATGCTGTCTTCTAAAACTACGCTTTGCTTCTTTATATTTAACAAAGTTCTCATCGTTCTTAGCATGTGACCTGCCATTCTCTTGCCAATGTCGTCTTTTACTGCGCATTTCATCATGTAATAACTTCAGGTTGTCTTTTTTCCAGTAGGGTTTGAGGTAGGATTTAAACTTTGTTGATGGGATACTTACTGCAGTAGATGCATGGAGGGCATCTGTAATGTACTTATTATACGTTTCAATATATTCATTGTGGGATGGGAATTGGGACAACTTGCATATGTCTTCACGAAAGTAATTTTCTGTTTCATAGCGATACAGCATAAGATCAGTATCACACGCTTTCTTCCAATTGAGCTTATATCCACCATATGTTTTTTTAGGACAGTCATTTGTTATACACAGAAGGATAGGCAGATGGTCTGAGACAGTATATGGTATATCGGTATCAATGGTATAACCAATAACGTTATTCAGATAATCAACACTCACAAACATATAGTCTATCATTGTTCTCACATCTTTACATTTGTTTGAGAACGTATACTTAGTAATATCGTCTAATGGTACAACTGAATATAGGGTTCGTTCATTTAGTACCCTTTGAAGACAGCGAGATCTCATTCTTTGGACAGCAGATTGTCGTATATCTGCATTAAAATCTCCAGTAAGGATAGTAAGACCATATTGTAGGTATATATACAACTTGTACATCATATGTAGGTATATATGCAACTTGCACATCATATGTAGGTATATATGCAACTTGTACATCATATGTAGGTATATATGCAACGTGTACATCATATGTAGGTATATATGCAACGTGTACATCATATGTAGGTATATATGCAACTTGTACGTCATATGTAGGTATATATGCAACTTGTACATCATATGTAGGTATATATACAACTTGTACATCATATGTAGGTATATATGCAACTTGTACATCATATGTAGGTATATATGCAACTTGCACATCATATGTAGGTATATATGCAACGTGTACATCATATGTAGGTATATATGCAACTTGTACATCATATGAAGGTATATATGCAACTTGTACATCATATGTAGGTATATATGCAACTTGTACATCATATGTAGGTATATATACAACTTGTACGTCATATGTAGGTATATATACAACTTGTACATCATATGTAGGTATATATACAACTTGTACATCATATGTAGGTACATGTATATATACAACTTGTACGTCATATGTAGGTATATATGCAACTTGTACATCATATGTAGGTATATATACAACTTGTACGTCATATGTAGGTATATATGCAACTTGTACATCATATGTAGGTATATATACAACTTGTACGTCATATGTAGGTATATATACAACTTGTACATCATATGTAGGTATATATACAACTTGTACATCCTATGTAGGTATATATACAACTTGTACATGCTATGTAGGTATATATACAACTTGTACATCCTATGTGGGTATATATACAACTTGAACATCATATGTAGGTATATATACAACTTGTACATCATATGTAGGTATACATACAACTTGTACATCATATGTAGGTGTATATTTATACAGCTTGTACATCATATATAGGTTTATATTTATACAACTTGTGCGTCATACGTAGGTATATACATGTATTTATACAACTACATCAAACATAGGTACAACTTGTCCATGTCCTCGAATCCTATGCAGGTATAATACGTGTATAACATTTATATTTCACGATCCTCCACTATGTTTGGAGGGTAAATATTTCGGTATGGGTATGTCATTATATAACCACAAGCGAATATATTTCGCCAGAAAACATCTACAGGATACGATTTAAATAATGAACAATTTGTGTTAAAATATAAACTGTTAAAATACCATGAACGTTTTCTCTTTTTGACTCAATAGTAAAATACTAGCATTTGGATCGGTAGATTCGCCTAAAAGGGACACGAATCCTCGTCTTTTACCAACTGAACAGTTAGATTATATAAAAAGTCAATGTTTTAGAAATACCTCTCTAAAGTTAAAAGTTAAACACTCCTAGTATAGCCCAGCGTACAGCCAATGTCAACCATGTATTTCGACAACATCCATGTACATGCTACCGGACCCGTGAAGATCCGGGGTAGAATAGGTCTTCAGCAACCCGTGCTTGGTTATCATCGTATCCCATTTGCGTGGATTGGTCATGATATCAATCACTGGACTGTCTGGTCCAGACTCGATTATTTACAGACCGCCGTCATATAGCTGGAATATTGCTGAGTGCGGCGTTAAACAACAAACAACAATCAAACAAACAAAACGTGTTACCGATTCTTACTTGTAAATCCTGACCCCCTTCTCTATAGTAGTACACATACATACCGCAATTTCCACATGCTGTAGGACACAGGGTCTCCCCAACCAAGGGCTCGCTACACAACCCGGAGAACGTGTCACTGGTGAAGACCTGGCAGATCTGCAGCTCGGGGCGGCTGCACCTGTCCACATCTAGGTGTCGGGCAGGAAGACAACATCAGGTTGATATGCACTTTTTAGATACCTCTATTGTCATACGTTCATTTAAAGGATGTAAGACCAAGCTATTCAAAGCATGTAATATATACCAGGTATTCAGTATTTTCTTAAATTTAGGGGTCTTTTAATATTTCGTTCAAAGAAAATGTGTAAAACTAACAAGCCTCTTCTTGTTTACTGGTCCTGTTATAAGTCAATACAAACCACCTCTGCAAAGCAATAACATTTGTTATTATACCAAAAATGTGACTTGGTAAATCTGTAATTCTAATTTTGGAATTGTTACCGCTATTTGCTTCAGACTTCAGCCAACTGCCGCCGTCTGGTCAGGTCTAGATAACGGTATCCTGAGCAGTGTTTGCTGTTAACCATGATAGTCAAGGGATTCTTGTCGCAGTATTCGGTTAATTTTAATCTCCAGCAAAATGTGTCAACTATCTCCTGCGATGCGTTTGCATGTTATATTGGTATCGTGTGCTTCACATCCCTGCTTCCATGTTGGGCGCCCTATAAAACATGAGAATCCATCATTTCTTCCTGGTCTGACGTAATGGCACGACTGTTGAACCACCGTTCAAGGAGCAGGAGAAATTTCTCCTATTTCCTGTTAATGGTTTAGCTTCAGGACTAACACAGGATCGGAGGGTTTGGACAAGGCCGAGATCACGAGAGTAGGGAAATGAAATCGTTAAACATTCTTTCGCCGATGGTCAATGGATTGAGAATTTTAGAATGACAGGGGAAACATTTTATTTCATTTGTCATGAGCTCCATATGGCTCTTGCAACATAGTCAACTGCCATAGCAATCTATTGGTGGGCATTGTCTGCCGAGTACCGAATTGTGGATACCCTATTTGGAGTAGGAAAGTCAACGGTGTGGAAATGTGTACGAGATGTGTCTACTGCACTTGTGGATGAAATTGGTCCCTCTAACATTTAGATCCCCAAAGATGTTGATCATGGCCTAACTGTGGAGAGGCTGTCGATGAGACCATATCATTGGGCCAGTGCATGCACATGGCGACTACCTTAACAGAAAAAGATGGTGCTCCAAGCAGTCTGCGATCAGACAAGCACGTGTTTACCTACGTCAATGTGGGGTGGCCAGGTCGGGTCCATGACGTGCGGGTGTTCGGCAACTCTGAGCTGTTCCACAGAGGTGAAACCAATGATCCGTTTCCACAGTGACCAGAGAAGGTAAGGTCCCACAAAGACACCGTAATACCAGGAACACTGGTTGCAGATGCTGCTTACTCAGTTTAACCCTGGTTGTTGAAACCAGATAACAGTGTAACCAATCTATCAGCTGACCAAAGACAGCTCAAGTACCGACACAGTCGAGCTAGGATGACCACAGAGAATTCATTCGGGCTCAAGGGCAGATGGAGATGTCTCCAAAAGAGGCTAGACGTTTTTTGCGGACTTTGCCACGACAGTCATAACAGCATGCGTAGTGCTTCACAATGTGTGCGAGATGCGCCGTGAGCGTTACAACGTGGATGGGGCTAATGATGAGGCAGAGGAAGAGGAAGAGGTAGATGTGGAGGGGGAAGACGATACCGCCCAGAACGCCCTGCGCCATCGTGATGGCTTGGTTTATACTTTGTCCATTTGTGACGTTAATGTTTCCTCTGACATTAAATTCATGCAATTCGCATATGACACGGATTTCAGGAGAAACAAAAGCGAATTCCTTTTCGTTTGTGAGTTTATTGTAATTCGTCCTTCTTCTATCGTTCTTCAGATTCAATCTGTTTTTTCCAACACTATTTGCTTTATTTCAGAATTAACGTTCTTTTCTTCTTATTTCAGAACAATTGTTCCAAAATTCTCATTACTGTCTGGAAACACGGTCATCATGTTGTCTAAAGCAGTTTCTAGCCATGTTTCGTCTTTCTTTCTCTCTGCTTCAGGTGTTTTTTCTGTTTCTTTCTGTCTCTTCTGTTCTTCTGTTTTATTCTTTCTATAGTCATCACTGGTTTCTAGAATTGTGTATAGCTACATATGATTATGACTGTAGTACCTCCGAATGTTCTAGAGTTGTGTATAGCTATATATCATTATGGCTGTAGCACCTCTGAATGTTCTAGAGTTGTGTATTGCTACATATCATTATGGCTGTAGTACCCCTGAATGTTCTAGAGTAGTGTGTAGCTAAATATCATTATGGCTGTAGTACCCCTGAATGTTCTGGAGTAGTAAATAGCTGCATATCATTATGGCTGTAGTACCCCTGAATGTTCTAGAGAAGTGTGTAGCTACATATCATTATGGCTGTAGTACCCCTGAATGTTCTAGAGTAGTGTGTAGCTACATATCATTATGGCTGTAGTACCCTTGAATGTTCTAGAGTAGTGTGTAGCTACATATCATTATGGCTGTAGTACCCCTGAATGTTCTAGAGGAGTGTGTAGCTACATATCATTATGGCTGTAGTACCCTTGAATGTTCTAGAGTAGTGTGTAGCTACATATCATTATGGCTGTAGTACCTCCGAATGTTCTAGAGGAGTGTGTAGCTATATATCATTATGGCTATAGTACCCCTGAATGTTCTAGAGTAGTAAATAGCTGCATATCATTATGGCTGTAGGACCCCTGAATGTTCTAGAGGAGTGTGTAGCTACATATCATTATGGCTATAGTACCCCTGAATGTTCTAGAGTAGTGTGTAGCTACATATCATTATGGCTGTAGTACCTCCGAATGTTCTAGAGGAGTGTGTAGCTACATATCATTATGGCTGTAGTACCTCCGAATGTTCTAGATTTGTGTATAGCTGCATATCATTATGGCCGTAGTACCTCTGAATGTTCTAGATTTGTGTATAGCTACATATCATTATGGCTGTAGTACCCTTGAATGTTCTAGAGTAGTGTGTAGCTACATATCATTATGGCTATAGTACCCCTGAATGTTCTAGAGGAGTGTGTAGCTACATATCATTATGGCTGTAGTACCCTTGAATGTTCTAGAGTAGTGTGTAGCTACATATCATTATGGCTGTAGTACCCTTGAATGTTCTAGAGTATTGTTTAGCTACATATCATTATGGCTGTAGTACCCCTGAATGTTCTAGAGGAGTGTGTAGCTACATATCATTATGGCTGTAGTACCCTTGAATGTTCTAGAGGAGTGTGTAGCTACATATCATTATGGCTATAGTACCCCTGAATGTTCTAGAGTAGTAAATAGCTGCATATCATTATGGCTGTAGTACCCCTGAATGTTCTAGAGGAGTGTGTAGCTGCATATCATTATGGCTGTAGTACCCCTGAATGTTCTAGAGTAGTGTGTAGCTACATATCATTATGGCTGTAGTACCCCTGAATGTTCTAGAGTAGTGTGTAGCTACATATCATTATGGCTGTAGTACCCTTGAATGTTCTAGAGTAGTGTGTAGCTACATATCATTATGGCTGTAGTACCCCTGAATGTTCTAGAGGAGTGTGTAGCTACATATCATTATGGCTGTAGTACCCTTGAATGTTCTAGAGTAGTGTGTAGCTACATATCATTATGGCTGTAGTACCTCCGAATGTTCTAGAGGAGTGTGTAGCTATATATCATTATGGCTATAGTACCCCTGAATGTTCTAGAGTAGTAAATAGCTGCATATCATTATGGCTGTAGGACCCCTGAATGTTCTAGAGGAGTGTGTAGCTACATATCATTATGGCTATAGTACCCCTGAATGTTCTAGAGTAGTGTGTAGCTACATATCATTATGGCTGTAGTACCTCCGAATGTTCTAGAGGAGTGTGTAGCTATATATCATTATGGCTGTAGTACCCCTGAATGTTCTAGAGTAGTAAATAGCTGCATATCATTATGGCTGTAGTACCCCTGAATGTTCTAGAGGAGTGTGTAGCTACATATCATTATGGCTGTAGTACCCTTGAATGTTCTAGAGTAGTGTGTAGCTACATATCATTATGGCTGTAGTACCCTTGAATGTTCTAGAGTAGTGTGTAGCTACATATCATTATGGCTATAGTACCCCTGAATGTTCTAGAGGAGTGTGTAGCTACATATCATTATGGCTGTAGTACCCCTGAATGTTCTAGAGTAGTGTGTAGCTACATATCATTATGGCTGTAGTACCCCTGAATGTTCTAGAGTAGTAAATAGCTGCATATCATTATGGCTGTAGTACCCCTGAATGTTCTAGAGTAGTGTGTAGCTACATATCATTATGGCTGTAGTACCTCTGAATGTTCTAGAGTAGTGTGTAGCTACATATCATTATGGCTGTAGTACCTCCGAATGTTCTAGATTTGTGTATAGCTGCATATCATTATGGCCGTAGTACCTCCGAATGTTCTAGAGTAGTGTGTAGCTACATATCATTATGGCTGTAGTACCCCTGAATGTTCTAGAGTAGTGTGTAGCTACATATCATTATGGCTATAGTACCCCTGAATGTTCTAGAGTAGTAAATAGCTGCATATCATTATGGCTGTAGTACCCCTGAATGTTCTAGAGGAGTGTGTAGCTACATATCATTATGGCTGTAGTACCCTTGAATGTTCTAGAGTAGTAAATAGCTGCATATCATTATGGCTGTAGTACCTCTGAATGTTCTAGAGTAGTGTGTAGCTACATATCATTATGGCTGTAGTACCTCTGAATGTTCTAGAGTAGTGTGTAGCTACATATCATTATGGCTGTAGTACCTCCGAATGTTCTAGATTTGTGTATAGCTGCATATCATTATGGCCGTAGTACCTCTGAATGTTCTAGATTTGTGTATAGCTACATATCATTATGGCTGTAGTACCCTTGAATGTTCTAGAGTAGTGTGTAGCTACATATCATTATGGCTATAGTACCCCTGAATGTTCTAGAGGAGTGTGTAGCTACATATCATTATGGCTGTAGTACCCTTGAATGTTCTAGAGTAGTGTGTAGCTACATATCATTATGGCTGTAGTACCCTTGAATGTTCTAGAGTAGTGTGTAGCTACATATCATTATGGCTGTAGTACCCCTGAATGTTCTAGAGGAGTGTGTAGCTACATATCATTATGGCTGTAGTACCCTTGAATGTTCTAGAGGAGTGTGTAGCTACATATCATTATGGCTATAGTACCCCTGAATGTTCTAGAGTAGTAAATAGCTGCATATCATTATGGCTGTAGTACCCCTGAATGTTCTAGAGGAGTGTGTAGCTACATATCATTATGGCTGTAGTACCCCTGAATGTTCTAGAGGAGTGTGTAGCTACATATCATTATGGCTGTAGTACCCCTGAATGTTCTAGAGTAGTGTGTAGCTATCATATCATTATGGCTTTAGTACCTCTGAATGTTCTAGAGGAGTGTGTAGCTACATATCATTATGGCTATAGTACCCCTGAATGTTCTAGAGTAGTAAATAGCTGCATATCATTATGGCTGTAGTACCCCTGAATGTTCTAGAGGAGTGTGTAGCTACATATCATTATGGCTGTAGTACCCCTGAATGTTCTAGAGGAGTGTGTAGCTACATATCATTATGGCTGTAGTACCCCTGAATGTTCTAGAGTAGTGTGTAGCTATCATATCATTATGGCTTTAGTACCTCTGAATGTTCTAGAGTAGTGTGTAGCTACATATCATTATGGCTGTAGTACCTCCGAATGTTCTAGATTTGTGTATAGCTGCATATCATTATGGCCGTAGTACCTCCGAATGTTCTAGATTTGTTTTTTGCTACAGACCATCTATGTCAGCTGTGTAACTCAGGATCCACATGCATAAAAGCGAATCTCGCCTCTCGACAATGCTGTGTACTTTTACAAAACAAATTGATTTCTTAATTAATTCATAGAACTTGATATAAAAAGGGATGCTTTGATCGAAGTACTTATAGTCACACAGGTCCATCATGGAGCAGCGCGTGTTCTTGCTTGTGACGATAGACTGCAATGACTTAAAAAAACTAGCGCATGCATAGGGCAACAACATTTTATTTTATTTTTAGGATATTATACGGATTTTTTCTCCAAACGCTCAGTTTGTATGAAAATGTCAACGTTTAATTATTTATTCAAATTGGGAAATTTAGGCATTTCCTCACTACAAAATTGATGTTAATAGGCATAAAATGTTATAATGTCAACGATTAAATGATTTTACATATGACTTTGTTTTCTTCCTGTTGATTATTATAAGAGACTGTATCGTTACTTTACAGGTAGCTGCGCATTCTGTATAGTTATAAATGATGAGGTGTTGATATTTACCAAACTGTTTGAAACTGTTCACGGCCAAAAAGCGAGAAATAGTCTTGTAAAGCAGTTTCAGAATTATTCTGACATTCCGAGACTTTACAAGTTCGGTCTCGATCAAACCACGGCTTGTCAGACAGTGTCCGTAAGGATTTAAAATCCCTATTGATCAAAAGTAACCGAAAACGGGGTACGAACTAAAAGCCAGTGTAATAAACTGCTCCATGGCACACACTTCAGAGAGTGAGTGGGTTTGATTTAACGCCGCTTTGAACTGTATTCCAGTTATACCACGGCGTGTCAGCTTAGTGTGCGAGGACAGCCCGAAGTGATGCAGGTCTCAGATGTAACCCCACGACAACGGGCATGGTGCTTACAACCTAGAAACGTAATCAGGTCGACTCTGGATTCGAACATCATGGAGGTTTTTGGCAAGCCTAAGGGACGCAACTCTGTTCAACGAATTGCGGCGCATCAGATAACTGGCCCCGCCTCCGCCTTGCTCGAAGCATATAGGCAAACAGTGGGTATATCAACAATCTTCATCTTAAAGAACAGGAGGTATAAAGACAAACAGTAGGCAGTGCATTCAGCCCTTGTATTTCCACCTTAACACGAATGGCACCATGTAAGCATGAGACCATGAGACCCAGTGAGACAAATACACGGCGGTCTGTGTTGTGATGCACTTACCTCCACATTCTCCACACGTGACGGGGCAGAGGTCAGATATCACTTCCACTGGACACAGTTCAGACGGTATCAGGACGCACAGGTCGCTTTCTCCACTTTCACATACTGAGACATGCGGAAAATAAATATGTTATTAGCAACGTCCTTCATTCGACGTAAAGATATCATCACACGGTATTTAGTAAACGAATTATAAATACCAACACCAAGTTGCAATATTTTACACTTTAATTTAAGGGATGGTTGTACGAACGTTAAGGAGCATCATGCGGTGTATTGCATTAGCAACATCATGCAGCACGTTACATTAAGGAAAATCATGCGGAGTGTTACACTAAATAACACCTTTAGGGATGTTACATTAAGGAACATCATGCGGGGTGTTACACTAAATAACATCTTTCGGAATGTTACATTGAGGAACGTCATGCGGAGTGTTACACTAAAGAACATCTTTCAGGATGTTACATTGAGGAACGTCATGCGGAGTGTTACATTAAAAGAACATCATGCAGCATGTTATATTAAGGAACATCATTCGGCGAGTTTACGTTAAGAAACATCTTTCGGGATGTTACAATAAGGAACATCATTCTGGATGTTACAGAACATCACGAGGCATGTTACATAAAGGAACAACATGCGGAGTGTTACATTAAGGAACACCATTCGGCGTGTCACATTAAGGAACATAATTCGGCGTGTTAGATTAAGAAACACCATTCTGGATGTTACAGAACATCTTCTGGATGTTACATCAAGAACATCATGCTGCATGTTACAGTAAAATTTTCACAATAACGACAGTCTTGTTCCCTTGTGCTACATCTGCATTACATGGGTTGCGGGTACATAGTTTGCGGCTACAGAGGTCGCGGGTACATAATCTGCGGGTACAGAGGTCGCGGGTACATAGTTTGTGGCTACAGAGGTCGCGGGTACATAATTTGCGGGTACAGAGGTCGCGGGTACTTGGGTTGCAGGTACATAGGTTGCGGGCACATAGGTTGCGAGTACATAGTTTGCAGGTACAGAAGTTGCGGGTACATAGTTTGCCGGTAGATACATGTAGGTTGCAGGTACAGAGGTTACGGGTACATAGTTTGCGGGTACATAGTCTGCGGGTACAGAAGTTGCGGGTACATAGTTTGCGGGTACATACATGTAGGTTGCAGGTACAGAGGTTGCGGGTACATAGTTTGCGGGTACATAGTCTGCGGGTACAGAAGTTGCGGGTACATAGTTTGCGGGTACATACATGTAGGTTGCAGGTACAGAGGTTGCGGGTACATAGGTTGCGAGTACATAGTTTGCAGGTACAGAAGTTGCGGGTACATAGTTTGCGGGTACATACATGTAGGTTGCAGGTACAGAGGTTGCGGGTACATAGTTTGCGGGTACAGACATGGAGGTTGCAGGTACAGAGGTTGCGGGTACATAGGTTGTGGGTACTGGGGTTGCGGGTACATAAACCGCAGGTATAGGGATTGCAGGTACAAAACCTGGTGTGTATGGTTGGGAGTTTCAAGCTTGAGTTCGTCCGTCGTGTTGGACGTTTAACATGATGTACCATGATGTGCCTCTCAGTGCTGAATATGAACACCTTTCTGACTCGGATGATTATGCTCATCAAGAATATGTTAAGTGAATAGTCCATGCTATCCCTGCCTTTTATGATTTTGGATATAAAACTTGAGAACAGCATTGCGTATTTTATGCCTCCAAGAATAAGTTGTGTACACGTGTCGTTAGCGTGTATCATATTATCTTGAAATATAATCGCTTGTTTTCGTCTCAACACATCCTTGATGGGAACCCATCCGTCTGAAATAGGGAATGTATAATAACAATGTGACCTCTCTGATTACATGTCATCGTATCACTGGTCAGTCGGTCCAGGACTTGAGTAAATAATCAAGTCTTGGACCGATACTACATTCCTAACGACTAATCACTGCCCAAACACAATGCAATGAGCGTCTACCGACGTGATGTTGTTAGAATATTGCGTCCTGAGGCCTAAAACAAGATTTACACGTCATCTACGCGTACCTACGCATACTACGCTGCTTACGCATACTGCACATACTTAGGCATACTACAAATACTCACAGGGAGACAGGGCTTCGGTGGTCGCACAGAGAGAGGGGGAAATCCAATAACATGTGTAAAAAAAACACAGAGTGAAGATTCCGTGGCACGCCATTTTCTTATGACTTACATACATATATGTTCACTGCTTCGTAAGGAATAGGAACATGTGCTATTGTGTCTCTTCTGTGAAGATATACGTAAGCCACTGTGTATTTTACCTTTGTATTTGCTCAATGACCGTATAAAGTATTGATACAGGTGATATGTCACATGTGAAATATTGACAAGAAAAAAGGCGAGTTCGTCGTAACAGAATGTGTTAATTGACAGGTGAATGCAGTCTCACACATGCCTCTGTATAAGACGATTTAAGTGACGTTTTTAACATTAGTGAAAAGAATGCATGTATATGACAACATCAAATCAAATACCAAAGCAATATGTCAATAACAATATTTTGATTTCTTCAAGAACGGAATTTGAAGCTTTGTATTTCAGCTATTTTTCAGCGAGGAATCCATGATAGCCTTCTAACAGTAAGTAATGGATGTCAAACAGAACGCCTGACTCCACCTTCACACGAATAATGAATCTGACACTTGCAATAGGTACCGATTTATTGGCGTTGTGAGAAGAAGTCTGAAAACGTTCATTTCAACAACGCTGAAACATACCAGCACCTTTCCCACACCACGGTCAGACTGACATATTATGCATTAAAAACGATAATTGTCAGGAATCTCAGCAATCAGTATCTGGAGTTTCCAACCCATCGCCGATGACATTCTCGAGGCGTCTCCCTATGATGCTGATCAGACGTCATTAGGGTCCTCTGCCAATCTTGTTGCAGTGCACTGGTCAGTTCATTCAGGCCATATAGAAGATGAGACTCTTGACAGATACAGAAAACACAGATAATGATCACAAGAATTTGTCCTTTATATATACCCAACGTCCAGTTTGATATATAATTGAATAAACGCCATCGAGAAGATGGGCTTTGGCTCACGAAAACACCGGTAATTTAAACACGTTCTTGTCGTTTATATACATTAGACATGTGTCTTTGTGTTGTTTCTGTCAGTAACATTGCACATTTCCACCACAAGCTACTGGGTAAAAGACAAGGGCTTAGAGATGCAATCAACTGAGTGTGTGTGTGTGTGTGTGTGTGTGTGTGTGTGTGTGTGTGTGTGTGTGTGTGTGTGTGTGTGTGTGTGTGTGCGTGCATCTATGTATATGTGTGTGTAACTGTGCTTGTGTCTGAATGTTTGTGAGTGTGTGTGAGTGTTCGCATGTGAGTGTATGTGCGAGTGTGTATGTGTGTGTGAGTGAGTGTGTGTGTGTGTACATGTGCGAGTGTGTATGTGTGTGTGAGTGAGTTTGTGTACACATGTGCGAGTGTGTATGTATGTGTGTGAGTGTGTGTATATGAGTATGTGTGTATATGTGTGTGTGTGTATTTGAGTGTGTAGGCGTGAGTGTGTGTATGAGTTGGGGAATATAGTTATATGGAAATATTGATTTATGACCATAAACTTGGCATTAATAATCCATATTCCACAATCCTACAATGAAATTGACAACAATTTAGATCTTCGACAAGTCATCACATTATCTTTTGTGGGGACTGAAATATTATTCAAAATTACTCGGTAGATTCGTATGACGATAATGTAGAAGATCCGAAAGAAGCAGAAAGGATACTGAAACTTAAATCCTTAACAGACCTAGTCGACGCTTGGAGGGAACTGAACCCGTTTGCTTAGCGATAAACATGAAGACAACCCACCCCTTTAAAACATCATTAATTACACACACACAAAAATGAGGCAAAAAACGGCCATGGGAGCAGTGCCAATTTACACTTATCAGAGGGGTACACAAAGTACGTGATCTAGACTACCAGTTGTCGGACTTTCATTTTTGTGGAAGCCTCGTTGGCTGAGTGGGTCAGATCGCTGACTTTTTGTGCTGGCGAGTAGGTGCCTCACTCTGGCGGCGTTGGTTCGAATCCCGGACAGTACTCAACCCCAAAGAGTACGAGAATCTGTACTTTACTTAGAAAGTGTTATCCTAAATATAACATTTGTTACGGATGAAACTGACGTCAACGATAATATACAGACAATTCTTAGGGAAATAGATTCTCTCAATAGTGAGTGACTGAGTTGGGTTTAACGCCGCTTTTAACATTATTCCAGTCATATCGCAGCGTGTCAGATTAATGTGGGAGGAAATCCCGAAGTGATGCAGGTTTTAGACGTTTACCACTTCGGTGAAACCCACGAGCACGGGTATGGTGCTGACAAACCTAGAAACATAATTGGGGCGAACCGGGATTCGAACCCACAATCATAGGTTTCTGGCATGTCCAAGGGACGCAACTCTGCACAACGAATCGCGGCGCCTTAGACGACTGGGCCACCCCTGCCCCCCGATTCTCTCAATAAGGAGTTAGAAGAAATGAGAAAGATTATGAATAATGGATAGATCTGAGGTAACATGGAGGAACATGGCGTAAAACCATCTAAATATTAGTTTGTGTGTGACTGTGCTTGTTTGTGTGAATGTGTGAGAGTATGTTGGTATGTGAATGTGCGTATGTGAGTGTGTGTGTGCGTGTGTGGGTGCATGTATGTGTGTGTATATATTTGTATGTGAATGTTAGTGTGGGTGAATGTGTATGTGAGTGTGAATGTGTTAATATGAGTGTGTGTATGTATGTGTCTGTGTGCGCATGCGCGTGACATTGAAGTATTTGTCACACTTAGAAAACATATGGCACGTAAACATAGGAACCTTATCCCAATTATTCCACTGACTATCCTGCTTTTACACCACGCTAAGGTCGAGTTCCAGCTCTTCAGATAACATACGCCACACCTTGGCATACAAAGACGGGTTTTCTAATTACCGACAGATCACCATGAAATACCTCATGCTACTCTGCATTTCCTTCTCCGTGTTCAGTGGTGCCTTGTCAGCTGCCAGTGAGTATTTCACATTCACATTCAGTTCCAACGTTCAGTGAGACGAACCCAGCTTTCGAAACATTTTCAAAACATTAAAAATAGGCTGATCTTTAATAATGTATCAATGGTTTTCCAAAACGAAAGTAGAACACATTTAACAACTCATATGTCAAATGCATCAATCTTATTGGTTGATTCAGTTCTGAAAAAACCCCTCCACATCATCATTTTCAAATATATTTATCCAGTAACTCTATCACGAATATGTCAAATGTGTTAAAACGCAATCATATTATCCAAATAATTATAAATACCTCACAAAATATATCTCATGCAAAGTTTCAAATTAATATTTTTCTGTTAGTCTTGAACCTTGAACCTAGTTACAGGACATATGTCTAAAAGGTTTGGCAAAAACCTCACGGAAAACAGACACAGTCAGCTGATTCAATATGTCTTTTGTCTGTTGACTCTCTAGTCACTGACGACACGTGCAAGATGGTGTACGGAGGCAGTTGTCTTGACATTAGACTAGCATTCTGTATCAACGTGGCCAGGGGCATCTGTTCGGGGCAGTTCCACGAGTGCTGCTACGCTAATGTCAACGTTGGACGGTAAATAAATGATGACATCTGGCGAAACAGCAACTGAAACACATCAGTTTTGGAACGAAACCTGTACACATGTTTAAACAATGTTTATCAAGAGTTATTTAAAACATTTTGGTGTTTTATTGAATTTTTTAAAAAAAATTCTAGGGAATGTTTTCTGTTTCACTTGAGATAATGTTGTGGTAATGCTCACGAGTAAGAGAAGTGTTGCATACTAGTATTAACAAATACATTGGGGAATTACGTACAAGCGGAAAGTAAGTAAGTGACTTTGAACTTCTTTGGCACAAACTAACCCTTGTCGCGAAAAGCTGGTTTCATCACTGATTTTCAGTGCTCCATTCGTGATATAATGTTTAGCGCTATTTTGCGTTTTACGCCCAAAGGAATCTGTAACGTCGGATACTCGAAACTGGTTATATTCTGGCGATGTTTTACATATATTTGAAACGCGTTGATGGGCATTTCCAAACGAAGCTATGGTAGCGAATCTATATGTTTGTTGTTTGTTTGTTTGTTGTTTAACATCGCACTCAGCAATGTTCCAGCTATATGACGGCGGTCTGTAAATACTCGAATCTGGACCACACAATCACGTGAATGACATCATGAGCATCGATCCACGCAATTGAGATCAATGACATGCATCAACCAAGTCAGAGAGCCTGACCACCCGATCCCCTTAGTCGCCTCTTACGACAAACATAGTCTCCTTTTATGGCAATATCTATAGTGTATAACAGAAATAATGAGACAACACACTGGGTAATGTCCCTGTCACTTAATGTAGCAATAATTTAGTCAAGTAATCTACACAAACTGTTGACGTCCTTTTAACGTTAGTCCAACAGTGACAAGGCAAAATAACGACAGATGGTCATGTATGGAGTTAATGTCGCTTCATGCCGTTTGTTATTCCCTTGAACATGTTTCGTTATAAACTGCAAATTTCTCAATTAACTCGTCAATCGAGACTGTTCCCTCCGTAAAGCGCCATTTTTGATATTTGACCAACGTGTATTCTTTCTCTTCCAACAGCGGTGACGTAGATTTCAAAAATATTTTTGGTTAAAGCTTATTTTGTTTATAATCATATCTATATGTATGATACAGACTTTCGCGACCCTAAAAAGTATTCGTTACTTTTGTTTATATATTTTAAGATTTTGCAAACACGAGACTACTTTTTTAGTCGCAAATAAAAGGGGTCGTGAACCGTCCTTGTGTGTTAGGTAGGGAGACTTTACTTTTCAAAGTTTGTAATGAAATCATAAAATTATCTGGAAGAAAATTACACAAAAAGTATATAATAAATAGGCATTTAATAGTATATAATAAATAATTTCACACGACACATGAAATGTCCTCTATATATTAAAAGTAAGATTCAGTGAGTGTTACATTCTTTAAAATGTTCGTGGATATGTACTCGAAATAAAATTTAAAGTCTAATAAATTCATTTATAAGTAATTAAATCAATAATAGAATCGAAATAAAGTATGCCTCGACATATATTCAAATATTAGTCCTGAATGAAAAACAGCCACTTTGTCGTTATTAACCAACGAATCAAGCCACGGACTGGTTCAAGCGAGAGGGAAACCGAATGCTCAGGCAAATAAGTGAGTGAGTAAGTGAGTGAGTATGGTTTTACGCCGCTTTAGCAAGATTCCAGCAAACACATCTAAGCACACACACACACACACGCACACACACACACACTCACTCACTCACGCACACACATACACACTCAAACAACCTTTAAAGTGTATGAATGAGTGAGTGAATAAGGTTTTATGCCGCTTTTAGCAAAATTCCAGCAATATCACGGCGGGGGACACAAGAAATGGGCTTCACACATTGTACCCATGTCGGGAATCGAACCCGGGTCTTCGGCGTGACGAGCGAACGCTTTAACCACTAGGCTACTCGACCGCCCCCTAAGGCAAATACATGTAAGCGTCCAGACTACAACACACAAATAGATATCTGTATTTCTCGTTTGAGTATGAGCCACGTGTGACCATCTTCTCTGCACATTGCTTCAATATAATAATATTATTAAGAATAGTCTGTTTTGTTTTGATTAACAGGGGGCACGGGTGGCCCAGTCGTCTAAGGCGCCGCGATTCGCTGTGCAGAGTTGCGTCCCTTAGGCACGCCAGAAACCTATGATTGTGGGTTCGAATCCCGGTTCGCCCCAAATATGTTTCTAGGTTTGTCAGCACCATACCCGTGCCCGTGGGTTTCACCGAAGTGGTAAACGTCTGAGACCTGCATCACTTCGGGCTTTCCTCCCACATTAAGCTGACACGCCGCGATATAACTGGAATAATGTTAAAAGCGGCGTTAAACCCAACTCACTCACTCACTCACTTTTGCTTAACATGATTGTCTGTCTGGGCTGTGTGGAATAACAAGTTATTGGCAATAAGCTTCGTACATTAGATTATTTAAGGACACTTTAACTGAAAAGATGTTTTTTAGTTAAATTTTATGTAGATCTCAAAGAAGTATTTAAGTAAGCTTCGTTGTGGAACTTTGGTCTTGGAATTTACAAATCTGTAGGTTTCCACGCCCTGGATCACCTTTAGAGGATGGAAAGTGTAAATTATGTAACAGTAATGCCATCGAAGACGAAGTCCATTTTGTTTCCTTTTGTGATTTCTACACAGACCTTAGGTGTGATCTGTGGTGTGAAGCTTCTCTCGTTGATGCACACTTTATACACGTCTCCACGTAACCAGCTGTCCTTCCTCGTGAAAACTGGTGCATCAGTTAAAACATTAGCCTCAACAATCTCATTCATGCTCAAATGTAGACAAAATGGGTGCCCCTTTAATCATTTGTTGATGTATCTATCATTGTATGGAGCAGACATGACCGAAATTAGAGAAAATGTGGTTTCCGTGGAACATGAACTATCGATCCACGAGACAGAAATCAAACAGCTACGGGAAGCCCTTGCAGAAGGAGAAAAGTACCGTGTTTTTTTATAATAGGGGTAATTCTCAATGGCATTCATGACATGGAACGAAATTTGTCATTCCTTGGAAGCCCTGAAACTCCCCCAAAAATACTGAGGAAAGACTTCCGTCCCCCTCCAAAAGTTGTATATGGTAGCATCGCCGCTCAATCCATTTTAAGTTACATGTAAATTTCACGGGGGTGACCCCAACCATTGTCTATTGTTTACGTTCAATCACCGTGCGTGTCGGAAATACGTTTTCCCTACAACATATGAAAGAGGATCATAAACCAAGAAATACACACTGCTTCGTTCGTCCGAGAACGATATGACTGAAAAAACACATAATGCTTTAACTGCTTCAGATGCTTAGAACGCTTATGTTATAATGAGAAATGTATTTTGATCCATTCGTTCGAATAACATTTACCCGCGCATCTATAATAGAAGTATAAAAGGTTGTAGCCGATGCACTTAGTGCTACAAGCCAAGTTTCCAGGAAATCCAAAAAATATGTTGCAAATGTTTGTATTTGTTATTTGACGCCGCACTCAGCGATATTCCAGCTATATGACGGCCTCCTGTAAGTGATCGAGTCTGGACCAGACAATCCTTTGAATGACATCATGAGCATCGATCCACGTTATTGGGATACGATGACACACATCAACCAAGTCAGCGAGCCTGAACACGCGATCCCGTTAGTCGCCTCTTACGACAAGCATTGTCACCTTTTACGGCAAGCATGGGTTGCTGAAGACCTGTCCTACCCCGGATCTTCACGGGTCGTTGCAAATGTAAATTATGACATGGTATATTCAACAGGTACTGGTCAAGCTGTCATGCACACTTCTCTTAAAGAACAATAACTAATGTGTAATAGGCGCAACTGTTAAATGAAAATGCAACATAAATTAAAAGTTAAAACAATTTTATTGTATGAGTAGTTATTAAATGTACATGTACATGATGCTCTTAACTTGTATTTACTTGTGAACTAGTGTGGTATAGGCCGTTTGGCCGGGCACTACATGCTGCACCTGTCAAACAGATAATAAATGAAACATCAATGTTCTGTGCGACACTTTAATAAAGTTTTCTGCTTTAATATCCGGCCAAAGGTAGTCCACACACAGTCTTGCACATTACTGCTTTCATTACTTGTTTTGACAATAAACACGCGTCACAAATACACCGCATATCGGTCTATGTATCACGGATTACATAGGAACGTAGGGCATAAAAACATTCTATGGCGAAGTATTATATGTTTTGTGATATAACAAACAGTAGGAGAGTAGTGCTGATTTGAGTTTCACTTGACCAGCGAACACCCTATCAGCGAACATCACCATCTTGTTAGTATCTATTTGAGCAGCCAGTCAAGTTATTCAGTTATGACGGTGCTGTTGGAACTACCAACGTATTGAACACAATAAACGTTAGGGAAGTAACTTGCAAATAAATATTACTAGTGCATTCTACTACTTTGTTTTTGTTAAATGTCGCGTAAATAACTACTTACGTGAGACAAAACAACAAGTTAGAAACCATTGTATACAACCTATCTTGTCGCCGCGTGACCATGCTAAAAAAGGTGGAATGACGCTGCAAGGGTTGAATTCACGATCCTGAAACAAATTTAATATACATACGTCCTTGTTTAATTTATTTTCAGAAAATGTATTCTTTTTCTGCAGCAACTACATACATGTAGTCCTGCCTGCTATTTATATAGTATGGAGTTGAACTAGGTGACTGAGATCGTTGTCAGTGTTAATCTCAAGTGGTACGTACATGCACACACTTATAACTGTACACATATTGCTTGTATGTAAACCGATCCCGCGAGTAGATAATAACGATGTCGTTGTCGCCGCCGATGCGTGCGGAATGATTGCACAAATTATTTTTGACTTACAACAACGCCATAATCATCTCGAACAGGTTAACCCGATCCGAAATATCACTAAATTGGAAAACACGACGGTTGTGCGCGTAATCTCGGATCGGGCTATCGCCGCTGTTGTCCTTTCAATATTCAACTGCTACTAGGCAGTACGGGCTACACCGTGCTGATATTATTCGGATATTTTCACCGTGATGATTCACAAAGTGACTGTTGAGTGTTGCCGTTATAATTTAACCAATACATGAGTGGTGAAGTCAGTGTGTTCGTGGAGATACTTGCCCGATCCGAAGTTATCAGCCTCGCCGCTCTGAAATCAGTCGGATCCGAAGTTATCCTAGAATCCGCAAACATGTCGCAATCATCTTACGAAATCCGAAAATCCGCACGCAACGCGGAACGTTTTAAGTTGAAATCGGATTCTGACACCCTAACACGACTGACTGACTGTTGAGTGTGGATTTATTGAATCGTTTACACACGTTGGCGCTTTTTAGACCGTGATCGTTAATAATTTCGACGGGCGTGTTCTGAGGAATAAAGGGAATAAAATACATAAACAGGTAGGAAGTGATCGATCTTTAAACACAAAAATACACAATGGCGGAAAAAACACTGGCGAACTCTCTCTCCACCGAAGGAAGAAACGTTTTAAAGGTCTCTTTCTTATACGGTAATCTGCAAATCTACGGGCTTGTTTGTGTTTATTCTACCAAAATAATGAGAAATTTATATTCGTTTCTTTTTAATTTACTAAGAATTTAAAGTGAGTTAGCATTCAGATACTACACGACTTTGCTCATGGGAAAAGTATATACATATATCGGAAATAAGTCTGTTTGGTTTGTTATTTATAAAGTAAACCCCCCATTTCAGTACACCTGGTAAAACTAATGTTGAGTATCGTTTTCATGCAGATCCGCATCACCCCCCCCCCCCCCCCCCCCCCCCCCCCCCCCCCCGACATGATATTGCTTGAATATTGCTAAAAAGTGACGTAAAAACCATTTTTATATAAAAACAACAGCATAAAAACCTCTTTCCTAGCTCTTCACTGTATACTGAGTCGGACTGAGTATATCCTGTTAACTACGGACTGATATCGTTTAGGGGATCTTATCACAATCGCGATAATTTCGGCGTCATTTATCTACCACTGGCGATGCGCTTCGGTGACACTGGGTGATCGAATGTGGAAGTGGAACTAGAGGGACCTTTTTGTTTCGGCGACCGCGGCGTCACTGGGAAGATGATGAATCTGTCGTCGCTCAAAACAACACTACAGAACAGAGTAGCCTCCCTTTGTTAATGGTAAACAGTTTAGACCATTCATTTTTGGTTCGTGCAAATACGACACCGGCGACCGATACTAATTTGTACACTATATTATTTATACGTTATGTACGTGATTATCTATTTAGTTTTAGAACAAATTTCATGATTTTATTGCTTGGGACCAATCTTGCGAAGAGAAAGTGATCGAAACGCCAGTAAAATGACCCAATCTAATCATAAACTTCATTCATTTGGCAACATTGAAAACGTGCACTGTGACTTAACGAACACCTGGTTATACATAACGGTTCTCATTAAGCATCATACCCAAAGTGTGCGTACATGTTGCATTAAATGTACATTTATATCGGTTGCTGTGTTTGTGGATACACTTTTTACGATAGTGTTGATGCTGTTATATGGCAGTGTTTTTCATTGTTGAACAATGATTGTAACGGTGTTGCAAGACTATCTGGTTCCAGTGTCACCGCTGTCTGGTTCCAGTGTTACCGCTGTCTGGTTCCAGTGTCACCGCTGTCTGGTTCCAGTATCACCGCTGTCTGGTTCCAGTGTCACCGCTGTCTGGTTCCAGTGTCACCATTCTGGTTCCAGTGTCACCGCTGTCTGGTTCCAGTATCACCGCTGTCTGGTTCCAGTGTCACCGCTGTCTGGTTCCAGTGTCACCATTCTGGTTCCAGTTGATGCTGCGGTCATATTTCCGTTGATGCTACGGTCATTTACGGTCATAAAAGTCGGAAGCCCTTTCGTTCTCAAAGAGGATATTGATGTTTTGATGCTGGTATATGGTCAGTGTATTGTAATGTAAAACAATGATTGTAACTGTTTTATATTGTCTCTGTCAGGAATGTAGTACTATTTAAGGTACGCAGTCGTCAGGATGTTACTATATTTAGATGCAAGAGTGGTGTGGTAACTTCCGGAAACGGCGAGACTCGTCCAGCATTGTATAGAGCTTTTACAACACTGTGTGGAAAGTTTTGGAAGCTAGTTAGACGGTATTTAAGGGGGACAAGAGCATGCCTCTCGCATCTCTCACACATTTCGCCTCTCGCGCTTTTCATCGCTTTGAAACCAGCTTTCATGTGAGGATCGCTCATCATCCCTAGCCCACCTCGGAAGCTTGATTACTGTCGCCGCTGGGTGAATATATATTATTATCACTGACTTTTGCTATCACCACTGTATTTTTGTATTTGATACTGACGACTGATATATTATTTATTGCCATTGAATATTGAACTACCGCTCTTTTGTGTACTGCCATTGTAATTGATGTGCAGTAATTTGTATTAATTTGCAAACTTTGTTTTTTTGGTAATACATTTGTTAATTGTGTACATCCTGTTTTTTTGTTGTTGGTTTCACATTGAGTTCTTTTACCTACAGATTTCTTGGTTAACATATTGTTTCATTTTGGGAATCGACCCGTAACAATGCTTACGATAACCCCTTCACGTTCATCATCTAGACACAGGGCATTAGTCTGAATCAAGGCATTCAACATCTAGACACAGCGCATTAGTCTGAATCACAGCGTTCAACATCTAGACACACCGCATTAGTCTGAATCACGGCATTCAACATCTAGACACAGCGCATTAGTCTGAATCAAGGCGTACATCTAAACACAGCGCATTAGTCTGAATCAAGGCGTACATCTAAACACAGCTCAGTGATCTGAATCATGGCGTACATCTAGACACAGCTCATTGATCTGAATCATGGCGTTCAACATCTAGACACAGCTCATTGATCTGAATCATGGCGTTCCACATCTAGACACAGCTCAGTGATCTGAATCATGGCGTTCATCTAGACACAGCTCAGTGATCTGAATCATGGCGTTCAACTAAACACAGCTCAGTGATCTGAATCATGGCGTTATTTAGACACAGCTCAGTGATCTGAATCATGGCGTTCAACTTAACACAGCTCAGTGATCTGAATCATGGCGTTCCACATCTAGACACAGCTCAGTGATCTGAATCATGGCGTACATCATCTAGACACAGCTCAGTGATCTGAATCAAGGCGTACATCTAAACACAGCTCAGTGATCTGAATCATGGCGTACATCTAGACACAGCTCAGTGATCTGAATCATTGCGTTCCACATCTAAACACAGCTCAGTGATCTGAATCATGGCGTTCCACATCTAGACACAGCTCAGTGATCTGAATCATGGCGTTCATCTAAACACAGCTCAGTGATCTGAATCATGGCGTTCATCTAGACACAGCTCAGTGATCTAAATCATGGCGTTCCACATCTAGACACAGCTCAGTGATCTGAATCATGGCGTTCAACATCTAGACACAGCTCAGTGATCTGAATCATGGCGTTCAACTTAACACAGCTCAGTGATCTGAATCATGGCGTTCAACATCTAGACACAGCTCAGTGATCTGAATCATGGCGTACATCTAAACACAGCTCAGTGATCTGAATCATTGCGTACATCTAAACACAGCTCAGTGATCTGAATCATGGCGTACATCTAAACACAGCTCAGTGATCTGAATCATGGCGTACATCTAAACACAGCTCAGTGATCTGAATCATGGCGTACATCTAAACACAGCTCAGTGATCTGAATCATGGCACTATAAAATCGGCATAAGTCCGGACTAGATCAAGCAGACGCACGCACGCACGCACGCACGCACGGCGCTATACAAGTGCAATAATCTTGGACGCGACGTTAACCCCATTTCACCTCACCTCACCATCTATCAACGAGACGTGTATGGCATAATCAAAGTGGGGACAAGTACGGTAAAGAACAATACAATATAATGTGCGTTGGACATGATCCATTATTTTACCTTACATGAAACTCGGACTGATTGCTGTACCCATGTTCCCAGCTGACAAACAAGGTAGACATAGCATATACCCCGCTCGGAAATGCCGAAGTTCTTATCAATATGAAAACAACGATATGATTATAATATTATTTTCAAACTGAACACCTATCAAATACAGTTCAAGGAACTAAAAGAGCATGTCTGATTGTAGTGCAAGGGCGATAACTTGGGATATATTTAAGTAGTTTCCAGGTGTCAAGATGTTTGTGAAACGGTCACCAGACATACTGTTAAAGACATTTTAAATAAACGAGCGTAGATTATGCAGGTAAGATAAACCGGTCAACCGATCCTTCAGGTATATGGTGTAGGAGAGGGGTACATAGACTCACACATAGGGTGCATCACACCATATACTCTTTAAGACCAGTCGACAATTAAAAATGTACACATATTTTAAAATATTCAGCTTATGGTGCCTCTTCCCTTTCTCTGCCAAATAAAACATAAGATATGTTAGCCGATACTTTTTATTCCTTTTAATTCCGTATTCGGCTTAACCGAAGCATGCTAGGACCCCAGCCTAGGACCAGCCAGTGAACTGTGGCAGCGGGTTCGGCGCATTGATCTCTGAAAGTAGACCAGGCATATATGTTTAAGAAATGACTTTAAAAACCCAGCCTGTGAAGTTGGTACTGTCGACGAATTTATTAATACGGATTTATTTCAAAATTTCTTTGCGTTGATTGAGGTATAACGTAAACATCGGTGTGCATAATGTGTAAATCGGGTTTTTTCATTGAAATGTCCATAAACGCAAAGACAATTTGAAATAAATCCGTATTAATAAATTCGTCAACAGTACTTCAAAGACTGGGTATTTAATCATAAACACACAAACAAATGTAGACAACAAATCACGTATGGCACCACCAAGTTTTCATCTATGGTTGGTTGGTTGGATAATTAACGCCGCACTCAGCAATATTCCAGCTATATGACGGCGGTCTGTAAATAATCGAGGCTGGACCAGACAATCCAGTGATTAATATCATGAGCATCGATCCACGCAATGGGATACGATGACATGCATCAACCAAGTCAGCGAGCCTGACCACCCGATCCCGTTAGTCGCCTCTTACGACAAGCATTGTCGCCTTTTACGGCAAGCATGGGTTCCTGAAGACCTATTCTACCCCGGATCTTCACGGGGCCGATCTGTATTGAAGTATTTGTTATAGGCATATTCTTCTCTTGGTATATTCGTCCAACTTTCAGTGTACATTTGCTTAGGTTTTAGATGGAACAAAACAATTATTGGCAGTCTGAACGTGCAGAGACGTTTCTTAATCTTTTTATGATACAGTGAAATCCCCTTTGTTGTAGACACGACCGCCTCTGTGGTCTAGTGGCAGAGTGTCCGCCTGGAGAGCGGAGGTCCAGGGTTCGATCCCCGGCCGCGTCATACCAAAGCACGTTAAAAGACGCTTGTTTTTACCCGGCGCTGGGCATTAAGGGGCTAAAACAAGGACTGGTCGGCTCGGAGTCAGAATACTATGTCTGAGTGGGGTTTTCATGTTAAACTGCCGCATGGTATCTCAGTGAGCTAGCACTATATAAATCGGCATCAGTCCGGACTAGTACATGCAGCCACACACACACGTGCATGCACGTCGCTATATAAGTGCAATAACGCGACGTTAAACCCCAATTCATCTCACCTTGTTGTAGACACTATGGGACCTGCCAGCGAACACAGATGAGTGTACTTACCGCATGTCCTGCACGTGTTGGGACAGACTGTCATGAGTGTCTTGATGTATCGGCATACAGTGGCGTAGAAGCGACAGAATTCAGCCTCTCTCCCATTGCATTCAACTGAATATACAACATGCGGGTGAAATGTTGGTGAGCAGGTACAACGTTTGGTGTGACTTCGTGAGAAAAAAAGGGTTATATCTATATCCCCCAAAACATTACCGATTCCACCATCGCTAGAACTGATCCTGAGTTTGTATTTTCAAACTTGTAAGTTTGGGGTTCTAACGATGAATTACAACCTTACAAATGATGTTTCATCTTCAAATTTGATTTATACATACATTGCCTTAATACAAAACTTTAAAAAACCCAATTCCGATACGATAATCGAAAAAGATCAGCAATGAAGCATTGTGACGTCGTATGGCTCCTAGTGACCAATCAGCATTGCGAATCTTCAAACCAAATGCACCTGCGCATATATCGGAAAGTTCAATCTTCCCTTATGAGTAATATATATGCGCAGGTGCATTTAGTTTGAAGATTCGCAATGCTGATTGGTCACTTGGAGCCATACAACGTCACAATGCTTCATTGCTGAGAAAATATCCGATATGACGACATCCATGGCTCATGACGTCAAAAATTGATGCCATTACGTCATCTGAACTATAGGCTTCGGTGAACTTTCTCTGTAGGGTTGCCATTTCCTACGTTTATTCTTCATTTTCTTTTTTAACATGTCAATGGTTAGTAGATAGAATAACCTAAACGAAACTCGAAATTACGAACTATCTGCCCCTCGTGAAGGAAATCAGATAGTCCGTCGCCATTTATTCACTCAGGACCGATAATCCGACGTTCCTGGCCATGGTAGTTCGTTGGTAATTCCTTTAGTGTACGGTTTCAGGGTAGTGGCAAGTCTATCAGTTAATTTAGTCGAATGCGTAACCATGTCATCTCAACTCACCGTTGTCGGGGATACACACACAGCGCGAGGGATTCAGCTTCTGACCGCTCGGGCATACCCGTGAACAGGACGCTGAAACAATAGTCATGGGTAGAATACATGCGGCGTGAATACACACTCACATCACGTGGAATCGCATCCTAGTTTGCTTGTTATTCATTTAGCCAAAACGAGGATCCGAATAAACTTCGTTTTGATTGCTAAACTAAATAAAGGTTTTTGAACCTTTCACCTAAAACTCCAAGCATTCTATTCATAATAATACTCATATCCGATTGAACGTATTAAAGGGTTGTGTTAACTATTGGACGCAAGATCAATCTAACAAGGAAAAAACAACACTCATTGAACAAGGGATATATTTCTTGGGACATACAACTTCTTTATTACAATGACTGCGACGTTTCGGTGTAGATACTAACACCGTGATCAAGCAAGTCATGAACATGCATTTGAAGTAGGGAGGGTATATACATGTGGATAATTGATGTTTATACACGATAATGTTTACACAACAGTTAACGTTAAAGTATTACACCTGGTAAGACATAAATAGAATTAACAAGGCATGATGGGTAAAACAATACAGTGATTGATATATTGATTGACATAGACAAGTTGACTGGAAGCTAGTATAATGAAGCTAGTATAAGGAAGCTAGTATAATGAAGCTAGTATAAGGAAGCTAGTATAAGGAAGCTAGTATAATGAACTAGTATAAGGAAGCTAGTATAAGGAAGCTAGTATAAGGAAGCTACTATAAGGAAGCTAGTATAAGCACGCACGCACACGCACGCACGCACGCACGCACACACACACACACACACACGGTGAAATTTGGTGCGGAACTGGGGATGGTGTGTTTAGCTTCCTATACTCGGAAAAGGAGCTGGATAAGCTAGCCAAACTTTGTGTTGTTATTGCCTCTTTAAGGCCAGACTATACAAACAGAATCTTTAGATTACACTTTCAGTATTATTGCAGATAACTTTTCTGATTTAGATGGTTCTTCATACGTCTCAACATGGGTGCTTATGTCCACGACGAGTGGTATACTGAGTAACACTGAGTGGTATACAGCGTAGAAAGACAAGTGATTTCACAATGAGAATGTATTATTATCTCTTATCCATTTTACTTTCGTCTTATATTGGAAAACGCCTTGTACAAGATGAATAAAAGGAGGTGTTTAACTTACAGATCTGACACAGGTTTCCAGAGAATCCAGCTGGACATGTGCACGTGCAGGAGGACGTCAGCTGTCCGCCATTCTGACACTCAGTAGTGCAGCCCGCTGAAAGACCGCCATCGAGACATGTGTAAGGGACAAATTACACCAGTGAAATTATATTGTCACGACATAATATCTATACTGAATTCACTGTAATATGTGCCGTGTGCGCTTAGAAAGTTCATGACGGGGTAGCTTATTAAAACAACGAGTTAAATTTGTTAAGTGGACAAACTTCGTTCAAACGTCAATGAAAATTACTGTTCGAAAATAGCTACATGGCAATATAGTCACCTTCTTCGCTGCTGCTTAGATTACTTACTGATTGGTCTAGAAGTTGGTCAGGGGCAATTATAAATATGACTTACTGATTGGTCGAGAAGATGGTCGAGGGGCAATTATAAATATGACTTACTGATTGGTCTAGAAGTTTGTCAGGGGCAATTATAAATATGACTTACTGATTGGTCTAGAAGGTGGTCAGGGGCAATTATAAATATGACTTATAGATTGGCCTAGAAGTTGTTCAGGGGCACTTATAAATTACACTTACAGATTGGCCTAGAAGTTGGTCAGGTGCACTTGTAAATATGACTTACTGATTGGCCTAGAAGTTGTTCAGGGGCATTTATAAATATGACTTACTGATTGGTCTAGAAGTTGTTCAGGGGCGCTTATAAATATGACTTACTGATTGGTCTAGAAGTTGGTCGAAGGGCACTTATAAATTAGACTTATAGATTGGTCTAGAAGTTGGTCGAAGGGCACTTATAAATTAGACTTACAGATTGGCCTAGACGTTGTTCAGGGGCACTTATAATTAGACTTATAGATTGGCCTAGACGTTGGTCGTGGGGCAGTTATTGAAGCAGGACTCGGTATTAGACATTGTAGTCCGTAATTGAAGAATTAACATGTTATTATTATATTACACGTCGCTTCACTTGAATGTTGTTTCGTTACACAGGCGTAATAAACCGCCCTTCCATCTGTACGTTTGATAGAGGGTAGGATAAAGATGTAGTTTAGAATGTTACGGTCAACTCTAAAGAACATTCTATATCTTCAAATAAAACATGTATGGCAGGCTCACCACCCAACTCAAATAAACATAACCTAATGTACATTTTCATAAACAATGACAATATAAGGCAGACATTGGCACGATTTTCTAGTGTTTATTTTACGTACGATGTAATCATGGTGTAAGCGTTACTGTGCCAGTTTGTGATGTGCTGGGTGAAATATGAGAAAACAGGTCAATATTAATATAGTACAAAGCAGAATCAATGTGTCATATTTTCGTTAACAATAACTTTCCTACATTATGTTGACTACAAGTACTGGACGAAGTGACTTTTAGTAAGCTGTTTTTTTCCCAAGCAGTTCAATTACGATTATATAACGACCTGTGAATATACTGGACTGAAGGCATGAACCGCGACTCACGGCATCGGGGAATGGTGGCTCGCAAGAAACAAGGTAACACATCCTGAGGACCACATTGCCATTTCAGTTGCCTCTAACGGCAACATTAACTAATTCAAGAAAAGAACCATGACCCTGTGACACACACAGGTAGGTCACTCACCTGTCTGACAGAGGGCGCCACTGAATCCGAGTGGACAGGTACAGGAGGTGCATGATGGGTAATTTGCGACACCGCCATTTTGACAGTTGAGATTACACCGCTCTGAAACAGGAATTAAACTGAGCAGTCTATTTCAACTCAGGTATGGGCGGGGGAGGATTCCTCCGCAAACAATATATTCCCATTATGACGTCATCATGTTTCACCTGTATTCTAAAAGTAAATATGAATCGTCAACGACAGCGAATAACACAGATTAAACACCGCAACAGATTCCCCTTGGCGTAAAAGGCAAAACAGAGATGAGAATGATATGAATGGACCACTGAAAATCGGTGATGACACCGGGTGTTCGCGAAAAGGATAAACATGTCCCTCGAATCATACTATTTGTATAAAAGATAAGTGTTTTTTGCCTAGGCCTGGCGCCGCTCATGATGTCTATTGCAAATCTAACTCATGTGTTCCTGGATAATGCAAAGATAACTCTAGGTCTTCACAAGATCGCGCAATATAGTTACCAAAAAACATAAATGGTTGTATGTTATCATGTCCTTTGAGTTACGTTGTTTTCGATTAATAACCCATATTTATTTTGTATATTTTTCTTAAATTTTTTCAAATTTTATTGCGAATTAATTTATTTTTGAACATCTACATGTTGCACAACAGAGAATATTCAATGGTGCATACACATTTCAATATAGAATTTAGTGATGGATAGGTGTCAACTGGTTATTTACGAATGATGTCAAGTTGACCAGAGTGAGTAAGTGAGTGAGTTGGGTTTAACGCCGCTTTTAACAGTATTCCAGTTATATCGCGGCGTGTCAGCTTAATGTGGGAGGAAAGCCCGAAGTGATGCAGGTCTCAGACGTTTACCACTTCCGTGAAACCCACGAGCACGGGTATGGTGCTGACAAACCTAGAAACATAATCGGGGCGAACCGGGATTCGAACCCACAATCATAGGTTTCTGGCGTACCCAAGGGACGCAACTCTGCACAGCAAATCGCGGCGCCTTAGACGACTGGGCCACCCGTGCCCCATAGATTTACCAGAACCTGTCTGTGTCATATTGCCATTTTGACAACATCTTTGCCTTTTCTGAGCAGTGGTTGTCATTTTTTTTAACAAATTGTTTGATTTTATATAGAATATATCAGTGCGTCATCGTGACGTTTCTGTGTAAGTCCGAATATAATTATAATGTTATGTATAGTCACAACAGTCCCACGCTATTCTCCTCTTCAATCCATATTTGGCATTATCATTTAATATTCCCACAAGACATTTTTGATGGCATGAAATCAAATTAAATGATACAGAAAACATTGAGTGAGTGAGCGATTTGTTTCCAACACCGCTTTGAACAATATTTCAATTAATCTGGGGCGGTGGGGTAGCCTAGTGGTTGAAGCGTTCGCTTGTCACGCGGAGAACCAAGGTTTGATTCCCCACATGGGTACAATGTGTGAAGCCCATTTCTGGTGCCACCGATGTGATATTGCTGGAATATTGCTAAAAGCGGCAAAATCCATGCTCACCCACTCACTCGCTTGAAATAACGGTCCAGGTTTTCACTATTTGTGTATTTGTTATAATTCATGATATTGTGTATATCTAATAAATGTCATCCTTGGTCACTGGTAGCTATTGTTACCTGCTTAAACACTTACTAAGGGTGCATACATCCAACCTCGGTTATATCTGTGCAACGCTTCCAAAGCAACCGGAGAAAATTACTTGATAGACAATGCTAAGTAAAACCATTCAGAGGAAGGTATCCGGATCGTTTTAAGAAGACCGAAACCTGACCCCGGAAAGCCTTGTTGTGTCTGTGATCTACTTACGACAGGAGTCACCGGCGAACCTGACCCCGGAAAGCCGTGTTGTGTCTGTGATCTACTTACAACAGGCGTCACGGCGAACCTGATGTCGGAAAGCCGTATTGTGTCTGTGATCTACTTACAACAGGAGTCACGGCGAACCTGATCCCGGAAAGCCGTGTGGTGTCTGTGATCTACTTACCACACGAGTCACCGGCGAACCTGACCCCGGAATGCCGTGTTGTGTCTGTGATCTACTTACCACAGGAGTCACCGGCGAACCTCACCCCGGAAAGCTGTGTTGTGTCTGTGATCTACTTACCACAGGAGTCACCGGCGAACCTGACCCCGGAAAGCCGTGTTGTGTCTGTGATCTACTTACCACAGGAGTCACCGGCGAACCTCACCCCGGAAAGCTGTGTTGTGTCTGTGATCTACTTACCACAGGAGTCACCGGCGAACCTCAACCCGGAAAGCTGTGTTGTGTCTGTGATCTACTTACCACAGGAGTCACCGGCGAACCTGACCCCGGAAAGCCGTGTTGTGTCTGTGATCTACTTACCACAGGAGTCACCGGCGAACCTCACCCCGGAAAGCTGTGTTGTGTCTGTGATCTACTTACCACAGGAGTCACCGGCGAACCTGACCCCGGAATGCCGTGTTGTGTCTGTGATCTACTTACCACAGGAGTCACCGGCGAACCTCACCCCGGAAAGCTGTGTTGTGTCTGTGATCTACTTACCACAGGAGTCACCGGCGAACCTCACCGGACAGGCACAGGCACACGCAGACTGGATGAGGATGCCGTTGTTAAGACACTGTCGGGAACAGGAAGCTGAAACAAGATTGTTGGAGTAACTCAACCTTGAACCGGAATTGGTTGAATAGAATATTTTCAATTTGTTGAAAGGTCGAATTCCGGGATCACTGAACGGTTTTACTCCGCGTATGTTTGCTTTTGAAAACCAAAAACCATGATAATATTTAACTCAGTTCAGTATGTCACGACATTCCTCTTGCGTATTCACTCTGAACGTGGTATTCAAACACTGCTCCCTAGATACAGTTAGTCAAATATTAGCCTATGTGTTTCCATTAGTGTTGTAATACTCCCTGATCCCACGCACATGTGGTGTGAAACATCTTGAGACCGTGCATGATTACAAAAGATTCTGGGCATAGATGTGAGATAATCCAACTCAGATACCGGTTTACCGTCGTTTGTGTTATAGGAATTACAATTTTGAGTTATAGGTATTAGAGCTTTGTGTTATAGGTATTACAGCTTTGCGTTAAAGGTATAACAACTTTGTGTTATAGGTATTACAACCTTGAGTTATAGGTATTACAACTTTGTGCTATAGGTATTACAATTTTGAGTTATAGGTATTACAGCTTTGTGTTATAGGTATTACAACCTTGTGTTATAGGTATTACAACTTTGTGTTATAGGCATTACAACTTTGTGTTACAGGTATTACAGCTTTGTATTATAGGTATTACAGCTTTGTATTATAGGTATTACAGCTTTGTATTATAGGTATTACAGCTTGGCAATATGCATTTTGAATTATCAAACAGTAACTTAATCAGTACATACGTGTCTCACAGAAAGTTCCAGTGTACCCCGCGGGGCAGACACAGGTGCAGGAGGACGTCAGAGTGCCGCCATTCTGACACTGCGTTGTGCAGGATGCTTAGAAACAAGAGACAGTACATGTCAGATTCCGAATTAGTGGCAATATCATATAATTTGTCACAAATTGGATATTCCAATAAAGACACACGTAGCATGAACTTAATCACTATATGTTGTTGTTATTTGCTTAACGCCGCACTCTGCAATACTCCAGCTATGTGACGGCGGTCTGTAAATAATCCAGTGATTGACATCGTGAGCATCGATCCACGCGATTGGGATACGATGACATGCATCAACCAAGTCAGCGAGACTGACCACCCGATTCCGTTAGTCGCTCCTCACGACAAGCATGGGTTGCTGAAGACCTATTACACACTGGCTCTTCACGGATCTCATGGGGGGGGGGGATATTGGGAATATATGCTACTTTTGAAATAATACTTACTAATACCATTAAGACCTGCATCCGAGGCAGCTCAGTGCAGGATCACGCCCTGGCATGGGTGCCGTTGTACAAAGCAATTTTAGCGCTCGGGTGATCGTTTACCTTAACAGAGACCTACGACAGTCGTAGCGCTAAGGTTGTTTTGTACAACGGCACCCATATCTTTAAAGCTCACCTCACCGAACCCATATATACTTACTTCATATAGTGTTTTAATAACGAATAAAAGATGGTTTGCTGAACGCTTTTAATGCATGCTAGCCATTGCTAGGTGTTGTGTTCGAGTGCAAGACATACATGGATTTCTTGGACTCAGAACACATTCATTTTAAGGACAAAGTGAGGGGGCGGTCGGGTAGCCTAGTGGTTAAAGCGTTCGTTCGTCACGTCGAAGACCCGGGTTCGATTCCCGACATGGGTACAATGTGTGAAGCCCATTTCTGGTGACCCCGGCCGTGATATTGCTGGAATATTGCTAAAAGCGGCGTAAAAACCCCACTCATTCACTCATAAAGTGAGTGTTTCCTGATATACGTTAATTCTTTCTAACCAACAACAAAGTGGACATGTCATATTTTGGTTTGGAGATAACGTTTGGACACGTAGGGCAATTTGGGAGTGGGAACTCAACGGCCAATCCTTATAAGGATTATTAGAGTCAATTATTGTGAGTATTGTAATCGTTTTAAGAAACTGTGCAAACTTAAAAATAGGATTAAACACACTGTAGCAGCTAGATATACTTACTTAACTCGCAGGAGGCTCCGGCAAAGCCAAAAGGACAAGTACATGTACAGGCCGATGTCAACGCTCCGCCATTTACACATCGTCGGCTGCACGTTCCTGCAAAAATAGATGATGTTTGTTTGTTGTTTTACGCCGCGATCAGCAATATTCCAGCTATATGACGGCGGTCTGTAAATAATCGAGTCTGGACCAGACAATCCAGTGATAGATATCATGGACATCGATTTAAGCAATTGGGTTACGGTGAAATGCATCAACCAAGTCAGCGAAACTGGCCACCCGATCCCGTTAGTCGCCTCTAACGATAAGCATAGTCGCCTTTTACGGCAAGCATGGGTTGCTGAAGACCTATTCTACCCTGGATCTTCACGGGTCTAACGAGTGAACGACTAAGCGTACAGTTGGCTTATCTGCCCAACTGAATAAACAGTCTGTCCTGTTCATTGTGTGGAAACAATGTTCCCAGAGCATTAAGTCTGAAGGCCGGTAGGATAGCCGAGTGGTTAAAGCGTCCCCACGTCACGCCAAAAACCCGGCTTCGATTCCCCACTTGGGTACAATGTGTGAAGCCCATTTCTGGTGTCCCCCACAGTGGTATTGCTGGAATATTGCCAATTGCGGCGTAAAACTATACTCACTCACTGCCGCTACTCACCACACGTGTCGCCCGTCCAGGGAGTCAGGCAGGTGCAGGTACAGGTAGACGGGTCCAGCACTCCACCGTTCGCGCAGGAACGACTGCATGTTTCTACAGAGTGAAATAATATTATGTCCAGGTATTTTCTTAATTTTATTGTTAAATCAGTCGACATCTCGTTTTCCGATGTCTGCTATAGAAAAACGATATTGTTAAAATCTAATATTGCCTTACATGTCTATATTGAAATTAATGCTATGAAGACGAATTATATGCAAGAAACTCGTTGTAAATGCCCCGTTCTGCTTGTGGGTACATTGTGTGTAGCAATAGTCCAGGGTGCCGTTTTAAAAAGCGATCTTAGCGTTAAGGTGGTCGTAACTCCCTTAACATAGACTTGCCACCGTCGTAGTGGTAAGATTGTTTTGTACAACGGCACACAGTAATGTAACGCCATTGAGAACACACGCTTTTACCAAAGCAAGGAAATAAACCCAATTCTTAAGGGGCATTCGTTCACATGATTCAGTTAGTTGTATGCAATTAGTTTCATGAACTGGAGTTGTAAGCAATTTGTCGTTCCGAATTTAACGGTTTGCATACAAATCGGGCCTCTGCGTTTAGCTGAGTTAATTTCAATTTTTAAAGAGTTAAAGAGTAGCTGAATAATGTGTGAATGCTGTGTGAATGCTTTTTGGGGCGTTACGACCGAAGGCTTTAATTGCCAAGCTACAGGTACCCGTACACCCCATTGTTTGTGAAACATGACAAATTGCAAGACCGCCTCCGTGGTCTAGTGGTAGAGCGTCCGCCCGGAGAGCGGAAGGTCCGGGGTTCGATCCCCGACCGCGTCATACCAAAGCACGTTAAAATATGGTACTTGTTGTTACCCTGTCTGGTGCTCGGCATTAAGGGGCTAAAACAAGGACTGGTCGGCTCGGAGTCAGTATACTGTGTCTGAGTGGGGTATTCATGTTAAACTGCGGCATGGTATCTCAGTGTGCTAGCACTATAAATCGGCATCAGTCCGGACTAGTACAAGCAGCCACACAAACACATACGTACATGCACGTCGCTATATAAGTGCAATAATCTTGGACGCGACGTTAAACCCCATTTCACCTCACCTCACCTCACAAATTGCAAGGTAACAGCGCTCCACACGACCGGGTTGAGACATGACACGCATGGTCGGAGTTAAACCCAATTCTCCAGTGTTCCCTACCTACGCTCCTGTCATCCTACATAAGACCCGTGAAGATCCGGGGTGTAATACGTCTTCAGCAACCCATGCTTGTCGTAAAAGGCGACTATCCTTGTCGTAAGAGGAGACTAACGGGATCGGGTGGTCAGGCTCGCTGACTTGGTTGATGCATGTCATCGTATCCCAATCGCGTGGATCGATGCTGGTGATGTCAATCACTGGATTATCTGGGATATTGCTGAGTGCGGCGTTAAACAACAAACATCACCATCATCATCACCATCATCATCATCATCATCATCATCACGTCATCCTACATAACGAATAACAGTCACCATCCCCACAATGAATCCCGGGTCTTCAGTGTGATGAGTGAACGACTTAACCACAAGGCTACCCCACCGCCCCTTTAACTACTGTTTAGTCAATGAGGATAACATTTATGGATGAACAAAAAAGTTGGCGGGGGATATATAAACGGGCTCCGTCCGTCCGTCACGTTTCGTTTCCGGAGCATAACTCAGAAACCGTTCAATACTTTTTCATGAAACTTTGCAGGTCTGTCAAGTACATGCTGAACTGGTGCCTTTTGCTATTTAGAAATTTTAGAAATATTCATTTGTTACGTTTCCATGGCAACAAGATGGCCTTAGGTTCTGTGAGGGTAAGGTTCGTTTCCGGAGCATAACTCATAAACCGTTCAATATTGTTTCATCAAACTTTGCAGGTGTCAGGTACATGCTGAACTTGTGCCTTTAGCTATTTAGAAATTTTTATTTTTTACGTTGTTGCCGCAACAAGATGGACTTACGTCCCAAACTCTTCTTTTTTTTACAATTTCCATGACAAGTTCCACCTCGGTTAAAAAAGGTTCGGGCTTGTTTAGATTTAATTATGTCATAAATTCTGCAACAAGGGCGGGGGATATAGCCACGTTAGTGGCAAACTCTTGTTACAATTAAGGGGCGGTCGGGTAGCCTAGTGGTTAAAGCGTTGGCTCGTCACGCCGAAGACCCGGGTTCGATTCCCGATATGGGTACAATGTGTGAAGCCCATTTCTGGTGTCCCCCGCCGTGATATTGCTGGAATATTGCTAAAAGCGGCGTAAAACCATACTCACTCACTCACTTGTTACAATTAGGAGCGACTTGGTTGATAACGGTGTAAGAACCTACACCGAAACGTCGCTCCTAATTGTAATAAAAAAGTTGTTCACTCATAAATCATATCCTTACTTAGTCCTCCAACTTCTAAATGCCTCTTAAAGAAGTTACTGTTTAGTCTTTACAATCTAAACATGTCTAAACATACTGACTGAACACAAACATAACCCCCTTCTCTGCCTGGATGTTCACATGTCGTCTGTTTAAACTGAGCCAGGTCACAGGTGAATATCATATGGTCAAGTTAAAGGTTAAAGGTATTTTGGTACTTCACAATCGCGTCATAGAATAACTATTCATTACTCACGGCAAGTATCTCCAGTCCAAGGTGACGGACAAGAGCAGGAACACGCTAATTGGTTAAGGGCGCCTCCATTGGAACATGTGCGGGTGCAGGTGCCTAAAGCATCAAACATGAACGAATTTGTTTACCAAATGATTTATAAGCAAAAAGTGAATCACAATACATTTACTGACAAAATGACAATCAGGCAATTTTACAATCATTTGAGATTTATAATAATCTGTAGCAGATAATTATCACATTAACATGTCAACATGGGAGAGTGAGTATGGTTTTACGCCGCTTTTAGCAATATTCCAGCAAAATCACAGCGGGGGACACCAGAAATGAGCTTCACACATTGTACCCATGTGGGGAATCGAACCCGTGTCTTCGGCGATGATGATGATTATAACCACTGGGCTATCCCACCGCCCCGGGCATGGAAGAGAGCAATAGCGCCATGGCTAGTTTAAACACATCTGTGACTTGATTGTTGAAACGAACCAATCTTTTTCACGAATAGACAGTTGGTTGTCAAAAATGAACACTTTGAATAAACGGAACAATTATTTATTTCGACATTTTGTCGAAAAACGTTTTGCCAACGGGGCTGGAAACAGCATCCTTTAATTGCAGGGCGTTTAGTTGTTTACCTCGGCTACGGCGAAATATGAAAGTTAACTTTTTTCACTATCCTTAAACGCTGAGAAACTCATTGTACACCGATGTGTTACTGTGTGTTACCTGTAATAATATTTATATTAAAGTAATTAGATGAAGCTTTGGCGATAAAAACTAAAAACAACACCAGGGGAAGCATGTATGTCCTTGTTCGGGGCTCTATATTTACTATAATCCCCGTCAGCATGTACTAAAACCGAACAATAGTATCACTTGTTTTGGACCCCATGCAATAGCAAAGAGCCTTGAACAATGCATTGTAAAGATTGACTCGTGATGGGGATTGGCGTGCGTGCATCATGATGATCAAGACGTTTCTCGGGCAGCACAGGGGGCGGTCGGTAGCCTAGTGGTTAAAGCGTTCTCTCGTCACGCCGAACACCCGGGTTCTATTCCCGACATGGGTACAATGTGTGAAGCCCATTTCTGGTGTCCCCCGCCGTGATATTGCTGGAATATTGCTAAAAGCGGCGTAAAACCATACTCAATCCCAATCGTGCAGCACACAAGGCCGACTCACAGAGTATTCATTTTTACACAGATTACATGCAGTTCTGGGTGCCGCTGTACAAAACAACCTTAGCTCTACGACTGTCGTAGGTCTGTGTTAAGGTATGGGAGTTACGATCACCTTAGCTCTAAGAGGTGGGGTGAAATAAGGTTTAACGTCGCGTCCAAGATTATTGCACTTATATAGCGACGTGCATGCACGTGTATGTGTGTGTGTGGCTGCTTGTACTAGTCCGGACTGATGCCGATTTATAGTGCTAGCACACTGAGATACCATGCCGCAGTTTAACATGAATACCCCACTCAGACACAGTATACTGACCAGTCCTTGTTTTAGCCCCTTATTGCCGAGCGCCAGACAGGGTAATAACAAGTACCATCTTTAAACGTCTTTTGGGTATGACGCGGCCGGGAATCGAACCCCGGACCTTCCGCTCTCCGGGCGAACGCTCTACCACTAGACCACGGAGGCTGTCCTTAGCTCTAAGATAACTGTGTACATCGGCTTTTAGGTATATATTAAAATACTTGGCTTAAAGTAATGCCCTGTGAAAGTCTCTAAGTGGGGAATGCCGATGTATTTTAAGTTTGAGAAAGTTGGGTTGTGTGTTCAGTCAGAGGACAAACTCTGTCAGACCTTGAATCAGAATCACCTCAGGAACCATCAGTTTGTTTGTTTGTTTGTTTGTTTGTTGTACTTACTTATCTCGCAGGAGTCTCCAGCAAAGCCAAAAGGACAAGTACATGTACAGGCCGATGTCAACGCTCCGCCATTTACGCATTGTCGGCCGCACGTGTCTGCAAAAATAGATGATGTTTGTTTGTTGTTTAACGCCCAGCTATATGGCAGCGGTCTGTAAATAATAAAGTCTGGACCAGACAATCCAGTGATTGACATCATGAGCATCGATCCACGCAATTGGGATACGATGACATGCATCAACCAAGTCAGCAAGCCTGACCAACGGATCCCGTTAGTCGCCTCTCAGGACAAGCATAGTCACGTTTTACAGCAAGCATGGGTTTCTGAAGACCTATTCTAACCCGGATCTTCACGGGTTGAGCCTTCAGTTCCTCGTGTGTTCTGAACAGATACAAACTAGATAGTAACTCACTGCAAGTGATCCCAGTCCAAGGAAACGGGCATGTGCAGGTGCACGTGCTTGGGTTAACGGCGCCTCCGTTGGAGCATGATCGCATACATGTTTCTGTGAAGAGATATGAGACCATATGGTAATTTAATTGTTCGTGGACACGTCACAGGAGACTATTTTCGATTAATTTGACCAGTGAGACGACCTCATCTGTTTCATATTTAGATCTACGCATAAAGATTCAGAGTGACAAAACACTCTCCACATGTACAAGACTGTGTGGCAAGAGGGCTGACTTCAAGTTTCTAACAGTCAACTTTTCCTTATATCGAACAATATTCCCGCAGCTCCAGTCTTTGGTGTTGTCATTTCACAACTTCTGAGATACAATCGAGCATACTCGTTCTACCAAGACTTCAAAGAGCGCCATATGACACATGCTCAGACGTTGTTTGATCAAGGTTGCAACATTCAAGGCCTAAGTGAAACTTTTAAAAAGTGTTATAGTGGACATGTGGAAGACATTTCCAAACTTGAGGTGAAATAGGGTTTAACGTCGCGTCCAAGATTATTGCACCTATATAGCGACGTGCATGCACGTGTGTGTGTGTGTGTGTATGTGTGTGTGTGTGTGTGGCTGCTTGTACTAGTCCAGACTGATGCCGATTTATAGTGCTAGCTCACTGAGATACCATGCAGCAGTTTTAACATGAATACCCCATTCAGACACAGTATACTGACTCCGAGCCGACCAGTCCTTGTTTTAGCCCCTTAATGCCGAGCGCCAGACAGGGTAACAACAAGTACCATCTTTTAACGTCTTTTGGTATGACGCGGTCGGGGATCGAACCCCTGACCTTCCGCTCTCCGGGCGGACGCTCTACCACTAGACCACGGAGGCGGTCCTCCAAATTTGAAGCATCAGTGACTCTAATGATGTCCGATGCAATTCTCTGTTTTGACTTGTACCATATGTTCCCGTGTTTGTTTCAGGTGATCAATTGACTTGCCTTTGCATGTGTTTGTCACGGATGCCACCGGTGGGACAGGGTACTCCTACCGCTTCACGAACACCTGGTATCATCACTATTTGATAGTGATTCCTAAACACATGCTCATGATATTGTCAGAATCGTAGAATCGACTCTACTTTATGCAGATATTTCTATTGGATAAAGAAAGTGTTTTGTCGTTTTATTTGCAAGTTTAGGAAATTATGGACCTGGCTACAATTGCAGCGATGCTTTGCTCTGTTCTAACAGTATATCTGAGTATGTTGTTGGACTTACGGCACGAGGTCCCCGTCCAGGGGGAGGGGCAGGAGCAGCTGCAGGTGGAGGCGTCCAGGACGCCACCGTTCATACATTGCAGGGTGCACGTTTCTGGGAAAAACAGAGATGGATGATGTACTTTTTAAGTCGAAGACCACTGAAATTGTTTCACTATATCTGTAGTTTGAAATAAACGTATTGGCAATATTGAACCACAGGGTCTGTCGGAATCATGGGGCTATACCTCTAATGGGTTGGTGCCAATACTCATTGGCATCAAGTCTAGCGGATGTCATTTATTCACACATTGTCTCCATGTACTTAGGGCAGGCTTCTGTTATTTGATTGATCTTATTCATGACAGTGTAATGTGTCCAATTTCTTAATTTAAAAGTTGGAGGAATTTAAGATAGAATATGAATAGCCGGTAATACACATGTATGTCGTTTCTGGCACGAATTTCAATACTTTCCAAGAATACTTTCAGGAATCATAACATTTAATTATGTAGTCGTTCGTTTTAAGAGTAAATATTTCTTTTAAAGTGTTTTTTTAGTTGAAACCCATGCGAAAATGTTAAATGTGAAAGCACATATAGTAACAGGAGTATATTTTCAAGTATAACATCGATATCACTTCTTTCAGTTTACAAGAGTACATGCAACGGCTACAGAATGTACTCAAGGGATGATCAAGTAAAGATAGGCTTACGTAGCTGGCATGTCTGTCCCGTGAAGCCGGGCTGGCAGATACACGAACACCCGCTGGTAGCCTGAACTCCGTTATTCTCACACTGGATGTTGCACGTGTCTGGAGAGAGGGATGTCAGTTAATATTTGATACAGTAAACTACGTTTAAAACGAACGCAAAGGGACCACTACTTTTTATTCGTTATAACAGTAGTTCGTTATAACCATATGTAAGGCATATATACAGCAAATGGACAGGACTGTTATATCCGTCAGTTCGTTATAAGCGTGTTCGTTATTAGGGTAGTTTACTGTAGTTCAGTTACAGTTTTAAATAGTCAGTTTCTTTCGTATTCCAGTCAGTATTGTACAGAGAACAGTTGATTTATTTTGTCACAACATGCAATCTCCGTTTGAGGGAACCACAGTTAATGTTACTACGTTATCTTGAGTTATCAGGTGAACAATTGACTTGCCTTTGCATGTGTTTATGACGGGTGCCATCGGTGGGGCAGGATACGCTCACCTTTTCGCGGACACCTGGTATCATCACTATTTGATAGTGATCCTTATCTGTATCGTCATGCACAGGACTATTTAGCGAAATTCATGCATATTCATTGTCCGACGTCCGAGAAAGTATGAAACAGCAAACGCCCCATCTTCCCGAGGCAAGGGATTTAACTGACTATAAAAGTACAGTTTCCACCCCTGCCGAACCAGGCTGGAATTGCTGGGCTCGATCGTAGCTCCACCTGTGGCTATTACGAGTTATGTCCATTCTATGCCTCTCCCATAGACCAATCAGATTCCACCTCTCCTATCACTTGCATTTGCTTCAAACAAAATGGCGGCGCCCAGTCAAGACGATCTCATCGATAATCCAATCTAATTAAAATCAGATCTTAGTTCTCGCTACCGCTAAACAAAGATCTGAGGACATCCCATTAAGGGTCACGTCAGACCGACCTTGCGCGAACTTTGACCGACCAATGGAATGACCAATCAGAAGGCAGCTTTCTCGTGCTTTACGGCACTAATTTCAAATTGGCGACTACGCTTCGAAACATAATTTGACAAATTCTCGATTACAAATTTGAAACCTGAACAAAAGAACATTCTGGAATGTCTAATAGATGGTCTAGATTGTATGGATTCAATCGTTAAACCCGTAACTATCGTTCGGGATATCCCGTCACGGCGTGTTAATGTTTTCGGGGTTGTATGATTAAAAATCACATTCCGACTGTCACTTTCATGATCTGGTAAGTGACGCTCTGATTGGTCGGATGAAAGGTCGTTCTGACGTGACCCCTAATGGGATGTCTTCAGATCTTTGTTTAGCGGTAGCAAGAACTAAGGTCTGATTTTAATGAGATTGATCGATAATCAAGATCTATATTGTGATAAGACGAGTTTTACATCGCAAAGAGCATCAAATCACATGGTGGCCCAGTCGTCTAAGGCGCCGCGATACGTTGTGCAGAGTTGCGTCCCCTGGACACGCCAGAAACCTATGATCGTGGGTTCGAATCCCGGTTCGCAACGATTATGTTTCTAGGTTTGTCAGCACCATACCCGTGCTCGTGGGTTTTACCGAAGTGGTAAACGTCTGAGACCAGCATCACTTCGGGCTTTCCTCCCACATTAAGTTGACACGCCGTGATATAACTGGAATACTGTTAAAAACGGCGTTAAACCCAACTCACTCACTCACTCACTCACTCTACCACTTTTTTCGGGAAGATGCAAACGCGCAGGCTTGTTCGCCTGTTGTTTTTTTTCCGCTCGCGTGGGTTCCACAAAATTTCATGTCTTCGGGTTTCATTTCTGACCCGCAATATTCTGTCTTTCCGTTCACAGGGAACTAATGTTTGAATCTGGCGGTTACTGACCATGTCATTTGAAACAGCCGCCTTCTCCCGGACATATTTTTCTCGCCTCTTGCCTTGATTGACAGGTCCTATGAACTTTGTTTTGATCATACTCTCCGTTGATTGGCTACAGATGTTGTGGGCGTGTCACGTTATGTGCATAAATTAAATAATCACCTGATTCATGTCACGCCACGGCATGTATTTCTGCGCCTGGAATGTTTGTCAATTATTTTTGTCTGCTTTGAGGTCTATAACTGTTTTTGATTAAACTATCGTAGGTAACACATGTTTTCGGTATCGAATTTAATGATTAGGATTGACTGTGTATTGGTTTCGTCTCATTGAGGTATGAAAACCGACATAACCAGTGTGCAAACCTTATGTTTTCTTGCAAAAGTTTGTACATCGGTTTTTCGATTCATACCTCAATGAGTGAATGAGGGAGTGAGTGAGTTTGATTTTACGCCGCTTTTAGCAATATTCCAGCAATATCACGGCAGGGGACAGCAGGAATGGGCTTCACACATTGTACCCATGTCGGGAATCAAACCCGTGTCTTCGACGTGACGAGCGAACGCTTTACCACCAGACTACCCGACCGCCCCCCATACCTCAATGAAGCGAAAAAAAATACACAGTCAATGATTGACAGAGGTGATTCATGCTTGGTCGAGGAACGTGTTATAATGGCATTATATATGGACATGAAGGTTATGATTTCTGTAACATTTCATTTTCAGTAGAACGCTTGGTATCATTATGAGGAACGTGACTCACCACAGGTAGGACCGGTGTAGGGGAATGGACACGTGCACGCACACGTGGTGGGGTTGATGACGCCACTGTTGCTGCACACACGGCTGCAGGTCTCTACAACAATGATGGGACGCCCGACAAACGATGAGAGCTCTTTCAACAACTTCAGATGCAGTTGGAGGAGCATTGCTGGGGATTCTTACACTAATTACGTTTTCATGCTCATTGTGTGAGTGGCGGGTGCTGCCGGTAGAGCAGGACATACTTATCCTTTTCGCGAACACCTGGTGTTATCACTAATTTTATATAATTCATATAATTTTCATGATTGTTTTGACTTTTACGCCTAATGAAATCTTTTTCGGCAGATAACCTTTTGTGATTATTTTTGTCACTGGCGTTTAATGACAGGCCAGTAGGCGAATGGCGAACAGCTGTGATGCTGTTCGTGATATAATACTGTACGTACGGCAGGTGTCTCCAGTCCATGGGTTGGGGCAGGAACAGCTGCACGTGCTTGGATTCAATACCCCATTGTTAGAACAGGTGCGACTACAGCCCTCTGCACATACACACAAATAATTGATAAAGACAAATTAAACAACGTTTACAATATATTATGAACCCATACAGCGGACACAAAACTGTGTTTACTCGGTTACAGATTTTACTCACGATATAACACAATGTTTACTCATGATATGTAGCAGACACAACAGAGTGGTTACTCACATGTAGCAGACACAACAGAGTTTTTACTCACAGCATGTAACGGACACAACACAGTGTTTACTCACGGCATGTTGATCCTGTCCAGGGGGCGAAACAGGAACACTCACATGTCGAGGGGTTCAATTGACCACCGTTAAAACAAGATGCACCACACGTTTCTGCAAAGACGTCATTATTATTATCTGCATCAGCTCCCGTACCGTATCGTGTATTAAACATTCACTAGAGACAAATACTTGTTAACCCCCATAGTGAAGCACAGTATACCTAATATATATTCCGACAAGTTGAAGACTGCAACTGTTGAATGTCAATTGTAGAAAAAGCAGATGAATTTTTTATTTGAATCATGTGTACAGCAGCTAATATCGCCCACTACTCACGACAAGTTGGGCCGGACCAGGCACCGGGACAGGAGCAGGTACACGTGGCAGGGTCCAGAACTCCTCCGTTGGAACAGGAGCGGGTGCACGTCTCTACAGTGTGATATAAAAATATATACACTAGTGCTCAGCAGAATACGTGGCCTTGTTCCCATCGCAAACATTTATATAGATGCATAGCCATAGAACAATGTGAGCATTTAGTATGACTTAACATTTGTATTCTATGTGCAGCTATATTGTTAAACGTCACTTTTATCAATATTCAGCAACATCGTGGGGTATGGAACCCAGGTCGGTGTGACGAGCGAACGATTTAACAGTTAGGCTGCCCAACCACCCCTTATTACGTATTTTACGTCTGATTTAACCCGTACATATAATGTGTGTAGCCATATTGTCAACTCACGGCATGTATCTCCGGTCCATTGCGACGGACATGCACACGTGCAGGTGGCCGCGGACAGTGCACCGCCATTAGAACAGGACTGACTGCAGGTTTCTGTCAAAAGTACCCGATATATGATCATGAATATTGAGCGGCCTTAATCGGTATAGAATTGAATGATAGGTAATGAATATCTGGTAAAAAAAGTCTTTGTGTATTGGTTTGTTTGTTTGTTGTTTTACGCCGCACTCAGCAATATTCAAGCTCTATGACGGCGGTCTGTAAATAATCGAGTCTGGACCAGACAATCCAGTGATTAACGTCATGAGCATCGATTCACGCAATTGGGATGCGATGACACGCATCAACCAAGTCAGCGAGCCTGACCACCTGATCCCGTTAGTCGCCTTTTGCGACAAGCATAATCGCGTTTTACAGCAAGCATGGGTTGCTAAAGACATATTCTACCCTGAATCTTCACGGGTCTCATACATAGTGAGGAAGACTGAATGATACCTTTACATGTGTGACAATGTCATGTATAACTGTGACTGACCAGCTGATAAACACACGTGTGTTGACACGGAATGCTAATTGCTAAATACTAGCTCACTGAATGAAATGTTGATAACATTTATAAGGGCGTTCAAGTTTGAATCCTTCATTTTACTGACCTCCTGTCTGTGTATTTTTGAATTCGTATGACACATAATTTGAAATGAATAATTTGGAAGCACTTGTGTTTGCAATTAGTAAATGTAAGTGAGTACATTATGTTATCTGCACAACAGTGTTTACTCAAGACATGTAGCGGACATAACAGGGTTCACTCTCGACATGTAGCGGGCACAACACAGTGTTCACTCTCGACATGTAGCGGGCGTAACACAGTGTTCACTCTCGGCATGTAGCGGACACAACACAGTGTTCACTCTCGACATGTAGCGGGCACAACACAGTGTTCACTCTCGACATGTAGCGGACACAACACAGTGTTAACTCTCGGCATGTAGCGAACACAACACAGTGTTCACTCTCGACATGTAGCGGGCACAACACAGTGTTCACTCTCGACATGTAGCGGACACAACACAGTGTTCACTCTCGACATGTAGCGAGCACAACACAGTGTTCACTCTCGACATGTAGCGGACACAACACAGTGTTCACTCTCGACATGTAGCGGACACAACACAGTGTTAACTCTCGGCAAGTAGCGAACACAACACAGTGTTCACTCTCGACATGTAGCGGGCACAACACAGTGTTCACTCTCGACATGTAGCGGACACAACACAGTGTTCACTCTCGACATGTAGCGGGCACAACAAAGTGTTCACTCTCGACATGTAGCGGGCACAACACAGTGTTCACTCTCGACATGTAGCGGGCACAATGCAGTGTTCACTCTCGGCAAGTAGCGGGCACAACACAGTGTTCACTCTCGACATGTAGCGGACACACCACAGTGTTAACTCTCGGCATGTAGCGGGCACAACACAGTGTTCACTCTCGACATGTAGCGGGCGTAAAACAGTGTTCACTCTCGGCATGTAGCGGACACAACACAGTGTTCACTCTCGACATGTAGCGGACACAACAAAGTGTTCACTCTCGACATGTAGCGGGCGTAACACAGTGTTCACTCTCGGCATGTAGCGGACACAACACAGTGTTCACTCTCGACATGTAGCGGGCGTAACACAGTGTTCACTCTCGACATGTAGCGAACACAACACAGTGTTCACTCTCGGCATGTAGCGAACACAACACAGTGTTCACTCTCGACATGTAGCGGACACAACACAATGTTTACTCACTAATGAATTTATGAGATGAATCATGTTTACACGAGCTAATATCGCCCACTACTCACGACAAGTTGGGCCGGACCAGGCACCGGGACAGGAGCAGGTACACGTGGCAGGGTCCAGAACTCCTCCGTTGGCACAGGAGCGGGTGCACGTCTCTACAGTGTGATATAAAAATATATACACTAGTGCTCAGCAGAATACGTGGCCTTGTTCCCATCGCAAACATTTATATAGATGCATAGCCATTGAACAATGTTAGCATTTTAGTATGACTTAACATTTGTATATAATGTGCAGTATTGTTTAACGCCACTTATATCAACATTTCAGCAATATCACGGCAGGGGACACCAGATATGGGAACCTTCGTTGGGTATCGAACCCAGGTCTTCGGCGTGAGGATTTAACAAGTAGACTACCCAAACGCACAGTATCACAATTGAACAATGTTAGGCGGCATTCGTATATTACGTTTGAGTTAACATGTGTATATAATGTGTCAACTCACGGCATGTATCTCCAGTCCAAGGTGACGGACATGCACACGTGCAGGTGGCCGCAGACAGTACACCGCCATTAGAACAGGATCGACTGCAGGTTTCTGTCAAAGTATTCGATATATAAACATGAATATTGTGCGACGTTTATCTCTATAGAAATGAATGGCAGGCAATGTACTTCTGGTAAAAAGTCGCTTATTGTGATGTATGAAGACTGAATGATACATATACGTTTACATGTGTGAAGTCAGGTATAACTGTGGTCGATATATATATATATATATATTCCTTAAAACATTAAAAAAGGCGTTTAATTATGAATCATTGTTTATATCAACGTCCAGTGTGTGTTCCTCTGAATTCATATTGTTTGAAATGAATAATTTGGGAGCACGTGAGTAGCGGAAACAACACAGTGTTTACTCACGTTATGTAGGGGACACAACTAAATGTTTACTCACAGCACGTAGCATTTTTTCAGCTACATCTACAAAACCAGATATTTATTTTGAATTAAAAAGAAAAACACATTGAAAACAATGTTATTCTTTTGGCAGACATTTTTTTCAACAGACTGAAAGACAGTTACTCTTTTCAAGAATTTTCGGGGACAATATATAGTTTTCGGTAAAATCCCAGCCTGCCGCGCACACACGAGGACCCAACACAGTGTTTACTCACGGCATGTAGCGGACCCAACACAGAATTTACTCACATGTAGCGGACACAAAATAGTGTTTACTCAGAGCATGTAGCGAACACAACACAGTGTTTACTCACGGCATGTAACGGACACAACACAGTGTTTACTCACAGCATGTAGCGGATACAACACAGTGTTTACTCACGGCATGTGACTGATACAACACAGTGTTTACTCACGGCATGTAACGGACACAACACAGTGTTTACTCACGGCATGTAACGGATACAACACAGTGTTTACTCACGGCATGTAGCGGACACAACACAGTGTTTATGCACGGCATCAGACTGACACAACTCAGTGTTTACTTACGGCATGTAACGAACACAACACAGTGTTTACTCACGGCATGTAACGGACACAACACAGTGTTTACTCACGGCATGTTGATCCTGTCCAGGGGGCGACACAGGAACACTCGCAGGTCGAGGGGTTCAACTGACCACCGTTCGAACAAGACGCACCACACGTTTCTGCAAAGAAGTCATAATTAATTATCGATTTCCCCTACCATGTAGCGTATTTTACCAGAGACAACAGTTTCTATTTGTTGAAGATCCAAACTGAAACACATGACCTCTAATTAATATTCCGACAAGTTGTCTCAAGACTGCAAGAGTTGAATGTCAAGTTTAGAAAACGAATAAATAAATAACGAATTTGGGATCAAGTGGGATCAAATTTACAGCAGCTAATATCTCCCACTACTCACGACAAGTTGTGCCGGACCAGGCACCGGGACAGGAGCAGGTACACGTGGCAGGATCCAGGGCTCCTCCGTTGGCACAGGAGCGGGTGCACGTCTCTACAGTGTGATATAGATATATATATATATATATATATACAACAGTGCTCAGCAGAATACGTGGCTTTGTTCATTCCGCAAACATTCATATAGATGTAGCTTCATTTAGTGAGTGAGTAATATGGTTTTACGCCGTTCTTAGCAATATTTCAGCAATATCACGGCAGGGGACACCACCCTCGTTGGGTATCGAACCCAGGTCTTTGGCATGACGAGCGAACGATTTAACCACTAGGCTACCCAACCGTCCCGTATAACAAATGAACAATGTGTTAATTGACAGTGCATTTTATTGTTGAACAATATTTGTAACTGTTACATTGTTTCTGTTGAGATTCGGTAGAAGTTCAATGCATTGTACTTGGGCAGTGATTAGTCGTCAGGAATGTTGTACTATTTAATGTAAGCAGTCGTAAAGAAGTTACTATATATAGATGCTAGTGTGATATGTAAACTTCCGGTAAACTGTGGACATGCAGAATATTCTGTATTCTGCCGGTAGACTGGTGAGGGCACTATGTAGTGGAACAAGGGCGTGTTCAGGTATATCTCACGCATCTCATCATGTCAAGACCAGTTTTCATGTGAGGATCACTCATCAGCCCTGCCTTGCCCATCTCGGAAGCTCGACCACTGTCGCCGGCTTTATCACTGACTTTTGCTATCATCAGTGCAATTTTGTATTTGATACTTACCACTGCATATTACATTGCCATTGAATACTGTACAACCACTCTATTGTGTACTGCCATTGTAATTGCTGTGCAGTAATTTGTGTTGATTTGTAAACAGACTTAATTTCATAATACATTTCTTGATTGTATAGCAGTTGTTGTTGTTTGTTCATTTCACACTCAGTTCTTTTACGTCCAGATTTCTGGTTTAACATATTGTTTCAATTTTCGAATCGACACGTAACAAATGTTTGGCGGTTTCCGTATTTTGCGTTAACATGAGTATATAATGTGCAGCTATATTGTCAACTCACGGCATGTATCTCCAGTCCAAGGTGTCGGACATGCACACGTGCAGGTGGCCGCAGACAGTACACCGCCATTAGAACAGGATCGACTGCAGGTTTCTGTCAAAATGAACATGAATATTATGCGGCCATGATAGGTATGACTAACAGGTTATGTATTTCCGACAGAAAAGACATGTGATTGATACATGTACATGTGTCACAATGTCAGGTATAGCTGTGACTGACAGATGATCAACACGCGTTGCAGTCCTTGACCCGATCAGTGAAGATCCGTGTAAGAAGCAACCCATGCGTGCCGTAACATGATCCTAGCGGGATCGGATGGTCAGGCTCGCTGACTTGGTTGATGCATGTCATTGTATCCCAACTGCGTTGATCGATGATCATGACGCCACACACTGGACAGTCTGGTCCTGACTCGATTTGTACAGACCGCCGTCATATATCTTGAATATTGCTGTGTGGCGTTAAATAACAAACAAACAAACAAACAAACAAACAAACAAACAAACAAACACTAGTCCTTGACACTGAATGCTAATTCCTTCAAACAAGATGCATCAAGATTCAGGTCTCTTGTGAGAGTCACGTGTAGAGGTATTGGTGACAACATGATATGGTAAGTAATACATACGACAGGTCTCTCCACCCCAGGGCGAGACACATGCGCACGTGCAGGTGACGGAACTCAGAATACCACCGTTAGAGCAGCTCCGCTGACAAGTTTCTGTAAAATTTAATACATTCCCACATCAAATACTCTACCCTCTTGACAACGCAGCTTAACATGTTTGTCATGTTCTTTGATGTGATACAAATGCTTTGATTTTGTTGATATCGTCATCAAAAAACAAATTTCACAAACTGGTTTAAATAAAACTACAGTCACTTTCAGTAACTTGACATCTACATAGGGTAAGTGTCCCCGGACCATCTCCCCTCATCAGTAGCATACCCCCCTCAAACAGAAATGATCTGATTAATTATTGATGACATGTTGTTTGTTGGCATTGTGTGGCACATGTCAGGACCTTTGTTCATTAAACATGTCTTCACGCACCACGCAATATTGACGTTTGCTATGTAAACAGATGCACACAATTTGACGTTTTACCTTTTGAAGTGGTGATCCTTAGCAAAAACTTTGAGTAGTATATTTACATACGTCGTCTATATTTCTAATGATATTACTGAACCTAAGCAAATATCTATGAATGTCAAACTTCCATGATCCGTTTTAAATTTAAATAAAGTACGAGACAGTGCGTTTGGGTGTTGTAATCCAATCAGAAAACACAAACGTTCTCAAACATTTTAGGCGAAGAAAATCACACGTGCCCCACCTCCCCGTCATCAGTAATATGTCATCGACATACCACAAATGTCCCCGGACCACCCCGTCATCAGTAATATGTCATCTACATACCGCAAATGTCCCCGGACCATCCCCGTTATCAGTAATATGTCATCTACATATCACAAATGTCCCCGGACCATCCCCGTTATCAGTAATATGTCATCTACATACCGCAAATGTCCCCGGACCATCCCCGTTATCAGTAATATGTCATCTACATGTACATACCACAGATGTCCCCGGACCATCCCTGTTATCAGTAATATGTCATCTACATACCACAAATGTCCCCGGACCATCCCCGTTATCAGTAATATGTCATCTACATATCACAAATGTCCAAAGACCATCCCCGTCATCAGTAATATGTCATCTACGTAACCACAAATGTCCCCGGACCATCCCCGTCATCAGTAATATGTCATCTACATACCACAAATGTCCCCGGACCATCCCTGTTATCAGTAATATGTCATCTACATACCACAAATGTCCCCGGACCATCCCCGTCATCAGTAATATGTCATCTACATGTACATACCACAGATGTCCCCGGACCATCCCCGTCATCAGTAATATGTCATCTACATACCACAAATGTCCCCGGACCATCCCCGTCATCAGTAATATGTCATCTACATACCGCAAATGTCCCTGGACCATCCCCGTCATCAGTAATATGTCATCTACATACCACAGATGTCCCCGGACCATCCCCGTCATCAGTAATATGTCATCTACATACCACAGATGTCCCTGGATCATCCCCGTCATCAGTAATATGTCATCTACATGTACATACCACAGATGTCCCCGGACCATCCCCGTCATCAGTAATATGTCATCTACATACCACAGATGTCCCTGGACCATCCCCGTCATCAGTAATATGTCATCTACATGTACATACCACAGATGTCCCTGGACCATCCCCGTCATCAGTAATATGTCATCTACATGTACATACCACAGATGTCCCCGGACCATCCCCGTTATCAGTAATATGTCATCTAAATACAGCAAATGTCCCTGGACCATCCCCGTTATCAGTAATATGTCATCTACATACCACAAATGTCCCCAGACCATCCCCGTTATCAGTAATATGTCATCTAAATACAGCAAATGTCCCTGGACCATCCCCGTCATCAGTAATATGTCATCTACATACCACAAATGTCCCCGGACAATCCCCGTTATCAGTAATATGTCATCTACATACCACAAATGTCCCCAGACCATCCCCGTTATCAGTAATATGTCATCTACATACCACAGATGTCCCTGGATCATCCCCGTCATCAGTAATATGTCATCTACATGTACATACCACAGATGTCCCCGGACCATCCCCGTCATCAGTAATATGTCATCTACATACCACAGATGTCCCTGGACCATCCCCGTCATCAGTAATATGTCATCTACATGTACATACCACAGATGTCCCCGGACCATCCCCGTCATCAGTAATATGTCATCTACATACCACAGATGTCCCTGGACCATCCCCGTCATCAGTAATATGTCATCTACATGTACATACCACAGATGTCCCTGGACCATCCCCGTCATCAGTAATATGTCATCTACATGTACATACCACAGATGTCCCCGGACCATCCCCGTTATCAGTAATATGTCATCTAAATACAGCAAATGTCCCTGGACCATCCCCGTTATCAGTAATATGTCATCTACATACCACAAATGTCCCCAGACCATCCCCGTTATCAGTAATATGTCATCTAAATACAGCAAATGTCCCTGGACCATCCCCGTCATCAGTAATATGTCATCTACATACCACAAATGTCCCCGGACAATCCCCGTTATCAGTAATATGTCATCTACATACCACAAATGTCCCCAGACCATCCCCGTTATCAGTAATATGTCATCTACATACCACAAATGTCCCCAGACCATCCCCGTCATCAGTAATATGTCATCTACATACCGCAAATGTCCCTGGACCATCCCCGTCATCAGTAATATGTCATCTACATACCACAGATGTCCCCGGACCATCCCCGTCATCAGTAATATGTCATCTACATACCACAGATGTCCCTGGATCATCCCCGTCATCAGTAATATGTCATCTACATGTACATACCACAGATGTCCCCGGACCATCCCCGTCATCAGTAATATGTCATCTACATACCACAGATGTCCCTGGACCATCCCCGTCATCAGTAATATGTCATCTACATGTACATACCACAGATGTCCCCGGACCATCCCCGTCATCAGTAATATGTCATCTACATACCACAGATGTCCCTGGACCATCCCCGTCATCAGTAATATGTCATCTACATGTACATACCACAGATGTCCCTGGACCATCCCCGTCATCAGTAATATGTCATCTACATGTACATACCACAGATGTCCCCGGACCATCCCCGTTATCAGTAATATGTCATCTAAATACAGCAAATGTCCCTGGACCATCCCCGTTATCAGTAATATGTCATCTACATACCACAAATGTCCCCAGACCATCCCCGTTATCAGTAATATGTCATCTAAATACAGCAAATGTCCCTGGACCATCCCCGTCATCAGTAATATGTCATCTACATACCACAAATGTCCCCGGACAATCCCCGTTATCAGTAATATGTCATCTACATACCACAAATGTCCCCAGACCATCCCCGTTATCAGTAATATGTCATCTACATACCACAAATGTCCCCAGACCATCCCCGTTATCAGTAATATGTCATCTACATGTACATACCACAAATGTCCCCAGACCATCCCCGTTATCAGTAATATGTCATCTACATGTACATACCACAGATGTCCCCGGACCATCCCCGTTATCAGTAATATGTCATCTAAATACAGCAAATGTCCCTGGACCATCCCCGTTATCAGTAATATGTCATCTAAATACAGCAAATGTCCCTGGACCATCCCCGTTTTCAGTAATATGTCATCTACATACCACAAATGTCCCCGGACCATCCTCCTGGACAGGAACAGGAGCAGGTGCTCGTTGAGAGTATTCCGCCATTGATACAAGCCCAGGTGCACGTTTCTGGAACATGGAATAGTCATGTTGATACTTGCTTACTCGCGAAGGTGCGGTGAGGTGAGGTGAGGTGAGGTGACGTGAGGTGAGGTGAGGTGAAGCGATATCCCACTCAGACACAGTATACTGATGGAGTCCTCGTTTGATCCCCTTAACGCCGAGCGGCAGAAGGAGGAACAACAAGTACCAACTTTTAACAGTATTACATTTTGGTATGACGTGGCCAGAGGATCGAACCAGCGGCCTACGCTCTCCGGCCTGATGCTCTATCTTCTAAACCACTGAGGCGGTTGCTTCAGAAGAAATAGTTAATGGCAATTATCATCCCCAACTTCAGATGATACACAAGTGCCGCGTCGGTTAATATTTATGATAATATTATAATTACGTTATTTATCGCTCGATGAATATTGCCAAGGTAAGAAAAGAAAGTTCGCTGTTGCATTATAGCTTTAATTACCTAATGTCTAAAAGAAAGTATACCAACTAAATGTTTTTCTACTATTTGGTAACTTAAACATCAATGTAAATTAGGACTTAAATACGTCGCACAAATACAACCAAATGTATTCGGTGACAAAAAGCAGGAGAAATTGGCAATTGTGTGAAAATTGGGAATGTTACCAGAACTACTAATTAACGTAATCCGCTTTAAACGGCGATACTTGCTAAAAAACTTGTATGTTTCTGAACATGTGTAAATATACCCCCAATTCATGTTAATCATGTAACTTAATTATATCTGCATATTGTTATCTTCATTCAATTCGAGGCAATAAAGAATATCTATCTATCTATATATCTATGCAACGCTGACAGGCGTAGATGCGGGAAGACAACGGGTGACCACTCCCAATTATGACCGCTACATCCGCACCATTCACCTCCGAAGCATCTTCATTACAGCGACACAGGGCCAGTCGACAGTGTTTAGGAGATTAAGAGAACGTGGTATAAGACCACCTTGCCCCTACGTCAGATTGACGTTACACGTCAAAACCGACGTAACAGGTTGACATGAGCGAGGAAGGTTCGGCGTTGACAAGTGCGAGACTAGGGACGCGTCATGTTCTCCGATGAGAGTACATATTGCTTGTACAGAAATGATGGTTGGAAGCTAGTATACAGGTGAACGTTAGCGCCAAATTGTGTTCAACGAGTTCAACCATTTGGAGTCAGTGAGTGAGTGAGTGAGTTGGGTTTAACGCCGCTTTTAAACAGTATTCCTGTTATATCACGGCGTGTCAGCTTAATGTGGGAGGAAAGCCCGAAGTGATGCAGGTCTCAGACGTTTACCACTTTGGTGAAACCCACGAGCACGGGTATGGTGCTGACAAACCTAGAAACATAATCGTGGCGAACCGGGATTCGAACCCACAATCATAGGTTTCTGGCGTGCCGAGGGACGCAACTTTGCACAGCGAATCGTGGCGATTAGAATTAGACGATTGGGCCACCCGTACCCCCTTCAACCATGTGGAGGCGGTGGCGTCATGGTCTTGGGAGGTATATGCTATTATGTCAGAACGAGGCTGGTTATTATTCAGAGAAACCTGAATGCCAAGAGTTATCGGTATGAAGTTTTGAGACCCGTTGTGCAGCCATTCATTCAGCAACAGCAACGTGGCATTGTCTTCCAGCATTGGCATGCTGGCATTGTCTTTGACCCTGGCCGGCTAGTTCTCCTGAGATGAACCCCATCGAACATTTACGGGATCACCTTGACCGACAGATGAGAAGACGAAGAGTGGCACCAGTCAACGGTCAAGAACTGAAACAATGTCTCCTTGAGGAATGGCAGTGAGTCATCTGTGCGACGTCGTGTTCAGGCGAGCGTAATGCACAGTCATGATGGACGTGCTCGGTAGTAGGTTGGTTTCGAATGTGCTTCCAGAGATTTTAAAGTCATAATGAACAAGTATTGTGACAGTGAAATTGTGAAACTTGTCAGGTTTTACTCCCATGTGTCTTTACGCTTCCGTAAGTCATAAAGTTATTATTTGGATAACATAATAAGCAGTTTTACACATTATGTTAAAACACAACTCTAATGAAATATATACATATTGACTTTCAACATGATTTTGTTTTTATTTTATAGTCTTTCAAACTCTTGATATATATTTAAAGGGATTTTGTCTTTGGTGTGGTATTAAAGAATTATATAGCTCGAAAATGACACCGGATCCAAGAATGCTTGCACGCGCGAAACAAGTATAACGATTGGGTTATATTTTGTTGACAGGCAAAAGAAACTATTCATCTCAGTTTACGCTATCATGCTTGATTTCCAATTACAAATGTCAACGAAATTACATAAAACATTGAACTGTACTGGCGGTTAGTCAGAACTCAAAGATACTTCCACAGGGTTTTAGTTTTTAGAATATAACACGTCCCATTTTAATTCTGGAAACCCAAAAGTCCAGAAACTCTACGCTCTTTGCCCAGTCTCGGTTAAAGGTATTTTCAAAATTAAACATGCCGTTTTCATGGGAACATACCAAGGAAGAACAAATGAAAAAAAAATTGTTTAAAAACTCAATATTTAGACTATGTCGCCCATGGGCCTGCCCATGGGCGAAGTTTGGCCCATGGGCCTGCCCATGGGCGAAGTCTGGCCCATGGGTAGGCCCATGGGCAGGCCCATGGGCGAGAATATGTTCCTTTACTTAAAACTCATGTTTTTGTTTCGCAAATACATTTAATGTATTCATTGAAGTATCATGACACAAAATGTAATTCATTTTAACTTAATTCAACGATTTTATAACGATATTGAAATATGGGCGAGAAAAAGGTTTGGCCCATGGGCGAGAATATGTTCCTGTACTTAAAACTCATGATTTTGTTTCGCAAATACATTAAATGTATTTATTGAAGTATCATGACACAAAATTTACCTCATTTTAACTTATTTCAACTATTTTATAGCGATATTGAAATATTTCGCCCATGGGCGAGAAAAAGGTTTGGCCCATGGGTAGGCCCATGGGCAGGCCCATGGGCGAGAATATGTTCCTTTACTTAAAACTCATGTTTTTGTTTCGCAAATACATTTAATGTATTCATTCAAGTATCATGACACAAAATTTAACTCATTTTAACTTAATTCAACGATTTTATAGCGATATTGAAATATTTCGCCCATGGGCGAGAAAAAGGGTTTGGCCCATGGGCGAGTATATGTTCCTTTACTCAAAACTCATGTTTTTTTTCGCAAATACATTAAATGTATTTATTCAAGTATCATGACACAAAATTTAACTAATTTTTACTTAATTCAACTATTTTACGGCGTTATTAAAATATTTCGTCCATGTTTACGTCAGTCCCTTTCAAGCATCAACTAACTGTTTGCAAAGTATATTGTATCATGTGAAATATACTTTATATTATATCATTACATTACTATTTAAAAAGGGCATTTGGTTGGATGTTTCCTTTAGTTCTACAAATTTCACCTGTTTTACATATTGTAGCGATCTTTAATGAACCCGGCCTTACCTCTCAAAACGTTTTGACAGTTTATCATACGAATTCATGTGCGTGTACTCCAATTCATTGGAGTTATTTTCCACAACATTAAATTTTAGTTAGTTTCTATTTCATTTCCCATTTAATGTCCCGTTGATACATCACACTGGGCAATTACGTGACACCAGGTATGCAATATACAGGTACGCGTGCGCGTATTTTAATGAAAAAAACTATTCGTCTTTTATTGCATAACGTTTGGCTGAATATCTTACATTCTAACGAAATCTCGAAATAATTATTTAATTACATGCGGTTTCGAACTGACCAGTGGGAATTATGTTTCAATGCGATTGAGGAAAACGTGAGTGAATATTGTGACACTAAAGCAACTTTTAACTGCATTGTCACTTTTGGTATGAAAATGGTAACAGTTCAGAAAAAACAACAGCCTCCTTATGATAATTCTCATTAGTACGTTGTATCTAATTACAGTGTCGGCCATATTTACAGGTGATTCTACAATACCTGCTCTCGGTCAATTACGATCTACCACACCACGCGTGAATAAACAGTTATGCAGGTGTTGCTGTGGGCAAATACCTAGCCTGAAAATGTTTATTTTTTTTAGGATACATGTTTTACAAATGTTCGTTGATATGTGGATATATTAAGCACAAAGACAAAAAAATGTTTATGAAAGATGAATTAGTGCCTTGATATATTCATCGAGATGTGTATTATCGTTTAAGGGGGTCATTCAATAAACGTATGTTTGGAGGAGATATCAAAGGAGCCGCCCAATATACACAGTGTCGTCCGGTGAACTACCACCCCACCCTGTCCATTAGAGTTATGTAATCGGTACACAAATATATTTGATGCGGTGTCAGTGCGGAAGGAGTTTGAATTACGTCCGCCAGTTGTCACAGAAATCCTCAAAGTATAGAAACAATAAACAAGGTCAATCCGTACTAATTCCCTAGTGACGCACGTAACAACGACTGTCAATAGGGAAAATGGTGAAAACAAATTGAAATAGATTTTAATATAACATTACTGTACTACATAACTCGCAAAAGCGGTGCCTAAAATTTTTGACCGTGTTATGTGTGTTGTAAACTGACGAATAGCAAGTAATTGTCATGCTGTACGCATGGTTCCATATACAAATTCAGTTATACAACCGGTATGAAACTGAGAACTGAGATACCAAGTACAACCTGCATTCACACACGGAAGCAATATACTTGTGTGTATGCCCTCTCCTCTAAAAAATGTATCACTAAAGTATTTGCATTGTAATAAATATAGTAATGATAAAACTTGGTAATTTGGTAGGTCTCCGACAGATATGATTTTCAGTTTTTTTACACCTTTGATTGATACGGATTACGTACCTGTAGTCTAGTCACTGTCTCTAATGTATCTGCTTGTTAGAAATTTCAAATGTCTTGTTATAGAACTGTTCCTAAAATACGGCAGTTTCTTTTATCGGGTATAAATAGTTGATTCGTCTTGTCACGCAG